TTGGTATGACAAAGAACTGAGTAGACATTCAGGTACAATAAAAAACTTCTTAGCTAAGAACCAATTGAGGTAAGTCAAATAGTGAAATATTAAGAGAAATAGTTTGGAAAAATAGCATCTGTCAGTGATGAAACTAAGAAGGCAGTGTTAAAGCATCTAAATGTCACTTCAGAAAGGAACTGCCAAGAGTCCAAAAGCATATGGAGTGCTTGTCTTGTGTCTGTCTGCTCCATCCTTTCTAATTTTTGGCTGGTGGTTCTTACCTACTGGTTTATGATGTTCATGTTATCATGCCTTTTCATCAGTACATTCACATAAACATTAGGTATTAAATAGAAGTTCTCTTGAAGATTAAATTTCTCTTAATGTTTCCTTACCATTTCCGTAATTTGGACCAAACTGTTTATCTTCAGCCTTATTTCCTATGGAAATGAGACCCAGGCAAGCCCGCTGCCTTTCTGTTTGTTTTTCTCCGCTTCTCACAACTCTTGAACCTTTCAGCCAGTTTCAGTCAAATTAGGCAGATGTTTTGAAGGTATAAACTTTCTACAGATCTTGTGATAACTGGCAGCTGAGGAAAAGTGACAGGTCTAAATTAACATTCTTGCTGAGGGAAGGGCTACAGTGTATGCGCAGGGGATGGCTCAGTCTTGTCTGTTCTGTTCGCTGACACTCTGTGCTGACTGGTGAATCGGTGTCTGTGTAGCTTGGAGGCAGGAACCGCACTGACTGCCTCCTGCCATCAGTGGTTGGTACACATGTATGAGCTGGCAGTGCCATTGGAAGTGTTTGCAAGATAAGGAGCTGTATATGTAGCAGGTAGTGAGGGGTATCGTAACATACGTAGGGTATCGTAACATATGTATTCTGTGATACAGGACAGAAAACTGTTATAAACTAGATTGGCGGGTTGTTTTGGGTTTTTTTTTGTTACCAGTGTTCATGGGAGAAAAAGTAGATAATACTGCAGGTGGTCAAAATCACAATGTACCCAGTTGTGCTCCATCCCTTTTCATTTTATCCTATCTCTCTATTTTTTTTATACAAGCAAATGTCAGATATGTCTTTAAAACAGAACTTAGAGTTCCTAAATTTAATAAGAGTTTGAGTACGGTAATGGTTTTGGTAAGTGACTATGTTGTTAAAAGTTAAAGTGTGTAGCTGGTTATTTTGTGGTTTGTTTTTGTGGTTGTTTTGTTTCAATTTTTTGTTTGTTGTTTGTTTGTTTCTTTCAAAATCCTAATACAATTACCCTACTAGCAACAGGTGGGTGACGGAGATAAAAGATGGAGTATTGGAAACCTGTCAGGCCTTTCCAGAAATTCTTTAATCAAACAACTCTTTTCTCCCAATGTTTTCCTTTTAAACTTGGCTCCCAATTTTTTCTCTTTCAGAATCTCATACTTTTTAAAATGCATGTGCTCCTCTTTTTTTGTTTAATAGATTTCTTGGTGAAAAACATTTTAATACAATTATTGGAGAGTCTCATGCAATGTTCTAATGTACCTAATCTTGCTAGTAAGATATTAATGGTGGTGTTTGAATGCTAAAAGCTTCCCTTTCAAACTTCCTTTGTTAAAAATGCTGGGAGAGATAGTTTAGCTGTCTCAAACTGATGGAATTTCCAATGTGGATTCGTAGTGAGACAAGATTAAGAAACAGTTACCTTTGAATTTGAAACTGAATGTGTAGAGGATTTGCATCTCGTGGATGGATCTGTGAGGAGCTGGTCCCACTTAACTGGCCTACAGAGATGGAAAAATTAGTTCAGACCTTTAATATGAAGGGATTTGGAGTCTGCTTAGGTGTTTAGGAGTTTTTGATTCCTTTTTTCCCTTTGTTAAGTACTGATTTAATAATAATACTGTTTTAAAATTATGTAGGTTGCTGGTACAGGTTTTTGAAATCCAAGTAGTTCTGAGATGTTGAGCTGTGAAACCTTTTAGTTGTAGATGTGCATTAGGGAGCCAAATTTGCTAGTAGTTGTTTAAGCATTGCTGATTTGATTGGTCTTATTTCCATGAATCAGTGTCAGAAACATTTCTTCATTGGTGGTGGTGTCAATTGGTGGCAGAGAGGTCAAGTCCTGAATAGGTTCTCCATTGGTAAGTTTTCTCTGCCCATATCTGAATAAACTGTGAATTTCTGAAAACAGTTTTTTCTTCAGAAGACCTGCACAAGCATCTTAAGAACTGTAATGCAGCATTCTATATGGCATAGTCAGCATATGAATCTGTTGTCTTCATGTTTGGGAGGTAGGGGAGGCGATGGGGAATACTGAGAAACGGAGATGTTCTTTAGTGTGATGTCGTCTTTATGAATATCCTGCAAAATAGTTTAAAATAATACTGAAAGCACTCTACGTCAGATTGGAGTACAAGTGTGTGTATCCGTTTTGTTGAGTAGATGCGGGAAATGTGTGAATCTAGTGTAAATCTACTGTATTTTCATCATACAGTCTGAGAGAAATGTTAGGCAAAAGTACGGGTGGTAATTGGAAATCAAACAGGTGTTACTAATAAAAAACAAGTGATGTTTCTTCAGGAGATGTCACAGCAATTGTGTCCCGTCAGTCCTGCCTCTATATGAATTTAATTTGGAGCACATGAATATGTGAAAATTATTATTTGTTTTAAGAAAATAAGGCTTAGGTGGTTCTGATCTGGTTGGCTTCTTCAGTCCTGTCTGGCCCTATCTAGTCAGCAGGATGCTCTTGCGTTAAGGCCAGCTGTTTTCTAGACTGTAATAACAAGAGTTACCCAGCAGGTTAAGGAAGGTGAGTCTTTCCCTCTATTTGGCACTTATAATACCACATCTGGACACCACATCCAGTTGTGGGTTCCCTATTCCAAGAAAGGCATTGACATGGTGGAGCAAGTCCACTGGAGGGCCACCAAGCTCATGAGGAGGCTGGAGAACAAGATATATGAAGAAACACTGAGAAAACTGTGTTTCTTCCTATGTAAAAAGAGAGAAAAGTCTTTTTACTGTCTACAACAACCTAACAGAGAATATAGAGAAAATAGAGCTGGATTCTTCTCAAAGCTGTTCAGGGATAGGATGAAAAGAAATGGACACAAGAAGGGGCTTATCAAATTCCAAGATGATATTAGGAAAAGCTTTTTCACAGTGTGATTATTAAGGTACTGGAACAGGCCCCAGGGGGGCCATTGCATCTCCGTCCTTGAAGATACTAAAAACTTAACTTGCCAAGTCTCTGATGTGATTGAACCTGCTTTGAGCAAGGGATTGAAGTAGGTGACATCCACCGTTTCCTTTCAATCTAAATTCTGTGATTCTCACCTTTCTTGTTCAGTTTATGTGATCTTTTGAATCCTTAGCCAAATGAAACTAGCTTAGAGAGCTGAAAATCCCAAAGATGCTAAAGCTCCTGCAAGTCCCCAGAAAAACATTGAGTAGAAAGAGATACAGGTTGAAGCTTCTGATAACTCTTGATAATTGTAGCCTTTCTGCTTTCATTTCCATTTGTTCTGCTGGCAGGGAGGTTTGTGTGTACATCTTAGTCAGCACAGTACGGTCTTCCAGCTGGTGCTTGTCCTGAACGGAAGAGTTCAGGAGAAGCTTGAGATGACTGGGGAAATCTTAGGAGGGGTAAGGAAAGAAGGGAACAAGATGATCTTTTTCTAGAACAAGGAATCATAGAATCATAGAATGGTTTGGGTTGAAAGGGACCTTAAAGCTCATCCAGTCCAACCCCTGCCATGGGCAGGGTCACCTCCCACCAGCCAAGGTTGCTCAAAGCCCCGTCCAACCTGGCCTTGAACACTGCCAGGGAGGAGGCATCCACAGCTTCCCTGGGCAACCTGTGCTCAACATTCTCATAGTGAAGAATTTTTTCCAATATCTAGTCTAAATCGCCCCCTCCCCCCACCCCAGGTTGCTCAAGGCCCCGTCCAACCTGGCCTTGAACACTGCCAGGGAGGAGGCATCCACAGCTTCCCTGGGCAACCTGTGCTAGTGCTCACCACTCTCATAGTGAAGAATTTTTTCCAATATCTAGTCTAAATCTCCCCTCTTCCACTTTAAAACCATTCTCCCTTGTCTTGTTGCTACTTGCCCTGGTTAAAAAGTCCCTCCTCAGCTTTCATGTAGGACCTCTTCAGGAGCTGGAAGGCTGCAATAAGATCTTGCAGCCTTCTTTTCTGCAGGCTGAAGAGCCCCAACTCTCTCAGCCTGACTTAATAGGGGAGGTGCTCCAGCCCCTGATCATCTTCATGGCCCTCCTCTGGACTTGCTCCAACAGCTCCATGTCCTTTTTGTGTTGAGGACTCCAGAATTGGGAAAAGTACAGTCAGGCATTGGAGCAGGTTGGCTGGAGAGGTGCAGTCTCCTTCCTTGGCAGTTTTGAAGACTGGAGCGTAGAGCAATCTTGCCTGATCTCATAGTCGAGCCCGCTTTGAGCAGGCGGTTGAACCACTTGAGGTCACATCTAACCTACATTATGCTATGATCCTAAATAGAAGTAGTGGAAGGGGGAATATTCGTAGGGGATGTTTAGAAAGGTCAGTGAGGCACAGGAGCATGCTGATGAATCAAGTAGGGGGAATATTCGTAGGGGATGTTTAGAAAGGCCAGTGAGGCACAGGAGCGTGCTGATGAATCAAGTGTTTTCATTCATTTTTAATTTGCAGGTACTTTGCTTTCATCTGTCTTGGATTTTTAAATGTTTTTTTCAAATAGACTTCTGGATCTTGTATTCCTTGTGTTGTAGAAACTTCAAATACTTTCACTTCACAGTTAATGGTGAAGACAACTTTGCAGTATAACACTATAACAGAGTGATTAGTTCTTACCATTAGTTAGGTCTGTTCCTTGGTTCAAGAAAACTTAAACCTGTAATTTATTCTGATGAGTCAGGCATTTGTGAGTTATCCTACTTAATTAAAAACTAAGAGAGTATGGGTGGGCTGTGAAAGTGACTGATATATCAGCAGCAAGTTAAAAGTACTTATTTTCCTGTGATTCTGCAGACTTGCCTGGGTAACACGATGCCAGCTGAGCGCAAGAAAACAGCAAATATGGAAGAAAAAGAATCTTCATTAAATAATAAAGAAAAAGAATTTAGTGAAAGGCGACCAGTGAGCACCAGGGAGAAGCCAAAAGAAGATGTCAAGGTTGGCATGAAGAGAGAGACTTTAAAGGTTCCTGAAGATAAAAAGAAAAAACTGGAAGAGGATAAAAGAAAAAAGGAAGACAAGGAGCGGAAGAAAAAAGAGGAGGATAAAGTAAAGGCAGAAGAAGAGCAAAAGAAGAAAGAAGAAGAAGAAAAAAAGAAACTTGAAGAAGAGGAGAAAAAGAAACAAGAGGAGGAGGAGAAAAAGAAACAAGAAGAGGCAGCTGCTCAGTTAAAGTAAGTTGTCTTTTAATGGTTTAATCATGCCAAGTGCTGTACTCCTGTTATCATGATTGTGGGCAGAATTATAAAAGATTAACTGTTTGAGTTACTTATTATAAGTTGAATGTAGTGTTATAAATTTGACATAGCTGACTGAGCGTGCTTTATGGCTTCTACATAATTCTGAGTTTTCACCTCTAATCTCTGTTACTTGAATCCCTATCATCATGACCACTTAGTGTACAATTATGCTTGAATAAAGCAGTTTCTTTTAAGATGGAGAAGTGTTAGTGTCATAAGATCAGGAGTACAGGCTCACACAGGTCCACAGACCATAACAGGAGCGAATTTACTGTGGCGGATGGCTGGAATTTCTTTTAATCAATCATAGACAATTGATACCTGAATGACAAACACAGAATGTAACCTGGCAGTGTAATGTGTGATATTACCGAGAAAATGTTTCTCAGTATGTCATCAAAAGGTACTACAGTGTTGGACATAGCATCTTTAGACCAATAAAGCCAAGTTTCTAGATATTCTTCTGTTTGAAATACGTCACTTTTTAAGACTGAGGCAATGTCATAGCCAAATTCTAGCTGGCACAGATGTATTTCACACATTTAAAATTTTTTAACTTCAGTAGTCTGGGAATCCAAGATTTCCCTTAACTATGTAATACAGTAACGTGTTGAAAGGTGCTTGTCGTCTTCTGTAATAACTTCATCTCCATCTGGGGTAAATGGAGTTTTATGTTTATATTTTCTAAGTCTGTTGGGATTAACATGTTCTGCATGGAAGTATTTGGGAAATTTCATGTTGTAACAAGTAGTGCTTGCCTTTTGCAGTGAGAAAAAAGCAACAGTGTTTATGAAGTAGATGCTTTAGCTTTCTAGGATTAACTTGTTAAATATTTAAAAATAGAGTATTAAGGGGAAATTTTGTTCAGAACTACTGAAGGGTTTCCAACTATGACTTTTTTTTTCCTTTCAACTGTTAACCTGAAAGTAAGGTTCTGTAATGAAAACGACTAATTTTTATTTCTCTTAGAGAAAAAGAGGAAGCACATCAGCTCCATCAGGAGGCTTGGGAGCGCCATCAGGCAAGGAAAGAGCTTCGCAGCAAAAACCAGAGTGCACCAGACAACCGCCCTGAGGAAAACTTCTTCAGCAGACTGGATTCCAGTCTGAAGAAGAACACAGCTTTTGTAAAGAAGCTAAAAACCATTACAGAGCAACAAAGGGACTCCTTGTCCCATGACTTTAATAGCCTGAATTTAAGCAAATACATTGCAGAAGCAGTAGCTTCTATTGTGGAAGCCAAACTGAAAATATCAGATGTGAACTGCGCTGTGCACTTGTGTTCCCTCTTCCACCAGCGCTATGCTGATTTTGCTCCTTCATTACTTCAAGCTTGGAAAAAACATTTTGAAGCAAGGAAAGAAGAGAAGACTCCCAACATTACCAAGTTAAGAACTGATTTGCGTTTCATTGCAGAATTGACAATAGTTGGGATTTTCACTGACAAGGAAGGTCTGTCTTTAATCTATGAGCAGCTTAAAAATATTATTAATGCTGATCGAGAATCCCACACTCATGTTTCTGTGGTTATCAGCTTTTGTCGGCACTGTGGAGATGACATTGCTGGTTTGGTACCAAGGAAAGTAAAAACTGTTGCAGAGAAGTTTAACTTGAGCTTTCCTCCTAGTGAGATAATTAGCCCAGAGAAACAACAACCCTTCCAGAATTTGTTGAAGGAGTACTTTACATCTTTGACCAAACACCTGAAAAGGGACCACAGGGAGCTACAAAATATTGAAAGACAAAACAGGTGACATTTAAATATTGCTTTTTATTTATGGAGAAAAAAAGAATTTATTTATTAAATGTCTAGATTTTTTTCTACTATTTGTAAGCCAAATCTGTTTCTGTGTAGAACATAAGTGTATTCTGCAGTATATCTAAAAAAAAAAAGTTCTAAATTTGCTTTGAATACTTAAAAAGAGAAGGCCAGACAGACTCTTTGAGTATCTTTAAAGAAGATGGAGGTTGACCTTTAGCTGTAATTCTCTCTATTAGTTTGATGATGCTTCCTTAGCAGTTTCAGAGTAATGCTGTTTTTCCAGCTGGTACTGGCCTTTTCCAGTTGGCACGATCTGATTTCTCCCTTTCCACCCACACCTATCTAACAGAGCATATGCCACAATGGCTTTGGCTTCTTTACCTTTTTTAGTGTACCAGTATGGATGAAGAATTAGGTTAGAAAAACAAGGTATCCCTTACACTTTAATGTGGGCAAATTTTATATATTAAAATGCTTGAGGGTATAGAGAATTTGATTAAAATTCTCTCAAATGTCTGTATGAAATACAAATACTGAAGGCTATGAATATACACACCTTTGAGATCTGACTAATTTAATATCTACCATGATCACTTTGTTTAATAACTGCTTGCTTTTCTTTAAAGCACCCTGAATTGTAATTCTTGGAGCCAGCCTAAGCCCAACTGCTGATCTTAAAACACAGTAATTCTTTCGGAATCCTTTTGGAAGCATTCCAGGCAGCTAGAAATGAGCATGTCTAGGAACAGGTTGCAGTTAAAAGGCCGAACATCAGTCTAGAGCCAAACACGTGCTTGGAATACATTGAAATTTGATGTTCCCAAATCAAAGCTTTTAACTTGGAGCCATTGTGCTGGTGGGTTTTGTGCTGCAGTCCTGTCTGGTCTCAGTCAGTTAAGCTGTATTTCACAGGACCACAAACCGACTTTTTAGGTACCATTATTTCTACAGGTACCTTATTACTTTGAAGTGTGTTATTGACTTAGCTGTTATTTTTTTTTGAAGTTAATGAATATAAACTTTTTTACTTTGAGAATTATAATTGGTTCTGGGCACTCTGGTTCTGACTGGGATTTCAGTGAGTGAGTTATGAGGTCGGTATAACAGGAAATAAAGTGAAAGAAGTTTCCAAGAGATAGAATGAATGTCAAAAAAACATGAAGAAGGAGGAACATTATTTCCCTCTCCCAGATCACTTTGCTTTAATGTTCACTGGATAAAAATTGAGTGAAGCCCTGAGTAGTCAGATCCAATCTTATCATTGCACCTGCTTTGAGTAGATCAGACTGAGGAGACCTTTCTGCACCTCATCATCTGAATTATCCATATGAATGTGGGTGCAAAGCTTTGTTTGGGGAAGGAGTGGGAAGAACTATCATTTATCACTGGATTAAGATAATTCTGTTATTTATCTGAACTTTAAGGTGTTTATTTTAAGTGCTTAACACTTGGGGAATCAGTTTTGTTGAAGAATTAAGACGTCAGAGAACTTTCCTGCCTATCTTTATTTGCTTACAACATGCCTGTAGCAGAGAGAGATGCTTGGCATTTGCATGCTGTGGAAGTGCAAGGCATGAGGTCAGAGACAGAATCTTGCGTAGTAAGAAATCTGCGAATACTACAGAAGTCTTCCTAAACTGTGGATTTTGGGAAAGTGATTGTGTGGTTGGTTGGTTGCTCTTTTTGTTTATTTGTGGGGTTTTTGTTTGATTTTTTTGTTTTTTTTCTTTCTTTTTGATTTTAAAAAAAGCAATAATCCTACCGGAGGAAAAAAGAGTCCTCTGTGTATTTGAAGCCTGATCCACTTTGCTGATAGCAACAGCTTTTATTCCTACTGTTATTCCAGAACCAATGAAGTGAATAGTGAGCAAATGCATCTTGTGCATTGACACTGTCATATGTTTAGGTTATGGTGTTTTGTCAGGTAAATACCTCTTGAATTTATCTGTGTTGGTAGAGTAACTGTGGAATAACTCAAGCTGTACCGATTGGTTGAGTTAATTGAAAATTAATATGCTAATCTTAATAGTGCTTTAATATTATGTTACCTGCTGAATCATTTAGGTAAAATTAAAACATTATTACACACAAGGGTTTCTGCAAGTGGATAATTAGGAAAGCTACTTTGAGTTCCACTTCAAAAGGAGAGCCTGATGGTCATCTGGTTACACAGCGAAGGGCACAGCAAAACCAGTGCAGGCTCTGTCATTGGAAGGAAACAACTTGATTCCCAAATTCCAGTATGACTTTTCAAAAATGAGTGTTAGATATGGAAGAAACGTCTTTTGTCTACGTTAAGGATGTTTTTAAGATCTGCTGAACTTGTGGCACTTTGAAATTCTGAAGAGACATAAAGCAAGATAAGTACTGTGTGCTGTACTTGTAATTGTATTTAAAAATTAATTTTCTTTCTAAAATTTGGTTAGTATGCTTTAGCTTGCCTGAATTTGTTAGCATTTGTCTTTTGGAAACTGAAACTGAGAACTGAAACTCATGTACTGTTGTTACAACACTTCACTTTTTGTTTTTTAATAAAAGCACAGAGCTTCAGTGCTCATGTTTATGAAGCTGATGGTGTATTTTAAACTTAAGTATGTACCTAATGGATAGCTATCTCCAGGGAAAGGCTGTGAATTGGCCCTGAACATGTTTCCTGAATCCAGACTGAACTTCTGCACTTTAGAAATTGTTAGTGGCTGTTTAATTTGTTAATTTTTCTTGCCCGCTCCTGCAAAGCAGACCAATGCATGTTATATGGGTGTGTTTTTGTAAGTGAGACAAGAAATAGAACATTTTCTAATGTTACTGCTTGTTGCCCTCTAGCAAGACATGTATGTCAAGTTTTGGTTCTGAGCAGATAGGAATTTTGTTGCTCACCATGTGAATGTGATGTGTACAAAGATAATTTCTGTTTTACAATTAACCAGGACTTGAAAAAAGCCAAAGTTGATATCCCTCAACTTACATCGCTTTTAAACGGTTTTAAAATTTTTATGCCATAAAATGTTTGGGTCTTTTGACAAGAATGTGATTATGTACTTACTGGTTAATAAAAGTCTGATGATAATGTAATGATGCAACCTGCTTTAGGAATTATGGCATTTGCACCTTATTTCAAACTTTTTCTTCTGGTGCTTTCATCTCAGTGCAGGGTGCATTGTCAGTGGCTACAGCTGGTTACTCCAGCGTTACTAGCATTACTCAATCTATTCTAGTTGAGGATGAACTAGAACATTGCAAATAAGGAGCCAGCTTATTCTTAGTTAATCCAAAATCAAGGGTGGGTCTTCCATCAGTCTTCTGTGGCAAGCTTTGTGCTGGCAGGGATTACCTTGTTCTGTATATCTGGTTCAAACTAGTGAAAGTTCCTGGTATTTTTTTATCTGAAATCCAAGATGGCCTTAATTGTGGTTTGATAGGAAAATTGAATTGTACTGTCCTGTATGTAGTCCTGAAGCCGCTTTATTGTGCACTTGTAAGTAGTGATTACGTTCCTTCAAATGCAAGTTGCTTTTGACAACAGATTTCAATTATAAAAATGAGAATTTAAAGTAAGTATGGATAGTTTCATAAAAGAAAGCAAAGAGCAAGTGAGAAAACAAATGTAACTGCTCTTAATGTGAACTGATAGCCTTGAAGTAACTTTGTTTGTTGGAAAAATAATGGGCTGGTTTAAACATGTAACTTTTTTTGACCCTCCTGGTGATGACTGCACATCTAGTCATTTGAACAACATGGAAATGTGTTGTTACAGGTGCAAAGCAGCTTTTCTCCAGCTTTCACGAAAAATTTTACGTTTTACTTTATTACAGAAGTCTTTTTGTAGTGAAGGACTGTTAAAAGATAATCATGGCAAAAATAACTTTGCCTTTCTCTTTGGACGTTGAAGTTGGAGCTTCTGTGACTGTACCATCCTCAATGAGATTGAAGTTGGTAATTCAGTATATTTTGGGAAAAAATAGTGTTGCTCAAACTTCTGCTATTGTGATCTGAACTAGAATTCTCACATTGCCCTCAAAAAGGGAAGGTTAGATTTGCTCAGAAATTTGTAGTAGTTCATCCAGCGTAGCTCAAATATATTTAAAGAAAAAAGGTTGTCTTACGTAACTTTTGATTTTTTGTAGGCGCATTCTTCACTCCAAAGGAGAGCTGAGTGAAGATCGACACAAGCAATATGAGGAATTTGCAATGTCCTATCAGAAGCTGTTGGCAAATTCTCAGTCTCTGGCGGATCTTTTGGATGAAAACATGCCAGACCTTCCCCAAGAGAAACCAACACCTGAGGGTAGGCCATCTTTTACAACAAGGAGACAATGCTGGGCTTGGCTTGGATGTTGTGGGAAAGCGAACCAAACCTCCTTACTGATGGGTTCTTTCCATTTTTTTTTTATTTTTTTTTAAATTTAGGTTTTCCCCCTTAAGGATATGAAAGAATGAATAATACATGGTTTTGTTAAATTAAAGTGATTAAACCTAACATTTTAAATAATTAAACATAACTGTTTTACGTGCTGTGCAGTTAGGGTAACTTAAGTAGTATCTATTTAAATTTGTTTCAGGTAACGGGAATAAATGGAAAATGGAAGTTGTTTTTAACCTAATCCTTTTAATTTGATGTAATGCATTTAAAAAAAACAAACCTGTGTATGTTAGGGTTTTAAAATCTGATATTGTTTACAAAATGGGTTTGAAGTCTATTTTAGGTCGTGATGTTGTGAGCAGGAACATATTGTTAAGCCAGACAAGTCACTAGGTGGCTCTCTGACCTCTTGAAAGTACAGCATTTAACTGGCAGAGCTATTCAATGGCTTAACGAATCTGACATTTTCAGTTTAAAGATGTTGTTGAAATCACGGGTGTACCTTTTGTCTGAAGTGATCGTGAGCTTAAAAAAGCTATTTCTTGAAGAACTAAATTTAAAATTCTTTTTAAAGCTCTGCTCTTAAAATACAACAAGGAACCATTCATCATGCTGAAAGTGATTATTTTTTACGCTGTTGCAGTTGAAGTCTGTTACAGCTTTCCTTTCTAATACCACATAATGTGCTGCTTGATTTATCTTGATTTGACTTGTGCTCTGATACTGTGTTTTCCATCAATGCCAAGTGTACAATTTTAAGAGAACTTACTGATATATCCAATATTAAGATTGGGTTGGTAGAAGTACTTTAAAGTATATGCTGCAATATTTAAGTGAAAACAGAGATAGTAATAAAGAGGTTAACACGTTTCTAGAAGTACTTTTTTTTAATCTTTAGAGAGTGCCTCCCATTAGAAGCTCAGAAACGTACGTAAATAACTTTCTTATGATTTCACTGTTTTTGCAGAACACGGACCTGGTATTGATATTTTCACACCAGGAAAACCTGGAGAATATGATCTGGAGGGTGGTATCTGGGAAGATGAAGATGCTAGAAACTTCTATGAGAATCTCATCGACTTAAAGGCTTTTGTGCCAGCAATTTTGTTTAAAGATAATGAAAAATGTTCCCAGAACAAGGATTCCGGCAAAGATGAATCAAGAGGTAGAATGCTTAGATGAGTATTTTTTAACATATTTTGTCCAACAGATATGCAAATTTGATGGAAGTAATGAGTCTCTAATGAAATAATCTGTGGTGATCAGGACAGTACACCACTTTGGATGAGTTTTTAGGGGGGAAAAACTGTGAGAAAGGAGTGATATCTGGGTACAGTATTTAAAGAAGAAAAAAAGTAAATGCATTTTAATATTGATAGAATTTTAAAATTAAAATAATTAGTGATTAACCAAGGCAAGTAAATGTTAACTTCTCTGACAAACCTAAAAGTTTACTTCTTTTGAAAGATGTTAGTGTTCGTTCTGGTTTTTCCACTAAATTGTCAACAGTAGCCAACTGTCTTCGTATAAAACTCCCCTAGATTAAAAGGCCTGGATAGTTCCTCACTTCAGACACAGCCCTAGGTTCAAAACCAGGCATTGGTAGAATTTAGTTATAAGGAGATAAAAATTACATTTGCCATCACTGACTCAGAGTGTAGCAGAAGCTACATGTTTAGATAAGAGCAGTGTTCTGGCATTGAGTAAATGTCAACAAAGACACAGGTTATGTGGTTTTCTAATACATATGCAGTAGGTCAGTGTTGGGTATTGATGGAATTTCAACCTCACGGCCTTCTTTCTGATTTCTAAATTCTGAAATTTCCCTGTGAGGATAATTAGATGTTGGAGCAGCTTGCCCAAGGAGACTGCAATCTCTACCTTAAGAGATTTTTTTAAAAGACAAGTGGAAAAAATCCCTGAAAAATCTGATCTGAATACAGTGCTCATCCACTTTGAACAGAAGGTTGAATGAGGGACCTCATCAGGGTCCATTCCAGACTAAATCAGTCTGATTTTTAACAGGTTGCTTGTTTTGTAAGTCTGCTATTTCCATATCACATGTACACTGCTTAGTTGTCACAGTTTTGTTTGGAAAAAATTAACTATTTTAATAAGGTTATTTGCCTTGAAAATTATTTTTTATGAAGCATAGCCTGCAAGTGAAGCTTGAAGGAGGCCTAAAAAAACCTAGTAAAATGTTATAGATAATAATCTCTTTGATAAATGCTCTATGCTGGACCAGTGTTGTCACAGAGTCACAGAATCACAGAACGTTAGGGATTGGAAGGGACCTCAAAAGCTCATCCAGTCCAATCCCCCTGCCGGAGCAGGAACACCCAGATGAGGTTGCACAGGAAGGCGTCCAGGCGGGTTTTGAATGTCTCCAGAGAAGGAGACTCCACAACCTCTCTGGGCAGCCTGGGCCAGTGCTCTGTCACCCTCACTGAGAAGAAGTTTCTTCTCAAATTGAAGTGGAACCTCCTGTGTTCCAGCTTGTGCCCATTACCCCTTGTCCTATCATTGTTTGTCACCGAGAAGAGCCTGGCTCCATCCTCGTGACGCTCACCCTTTAAATATTGATAAACATGAATGAGGTCTCCCCTCAGTCTCCTCTTCTGCAAACTAAAGAGACCCAGCTCCCTCAGCCGCTCCTCAGAAGGGAGATGCTCCACTCCCTTGATCATCTTTGTAGCCCTACGCTGGACTCTCTCCAGCAGTTCCCTGTCCTTCTTGAACTGAGGGGTCCAAGAAAAATATTAGTTATTCCTTTCTGAATCCTTATTTAGAGATTCATAGATTATTTATATTCAAAGGAAATTTGATTTTTATTTGACCTTCTACATAGCACGTTATTTCTTCACAATCTTCCTCCTGTTCTGCTTTTTGCCTTCTTTTTTTTTTTTTTCCCCTTGGTCTCTATGAAATACTTTCTTTTTACCTTGCTTTGTCAATTTTGTTACCAGTTGAGCTTTGAAGACTATGCAGTGCAAACAGTAAATTAGAATTTCTACCTTTGATTCTGGCTCTTTTTGAATCATGTTTGTGATATTCATTTACTGGGGTTTTGGAGTGTGCTGTTTTGTTTTTTTTTTTCCCCTGACTTTCCCAGTATGCAATTTTGGGTTTTTGCTTGCACTTTCCATATGATGGTCTGGCAATCCAATTTAAGCACTTTTGGACCTAGATTGCTACATTTCTGAATATCTTGTTCCACTTGTATATATGCACGTCATGCAGTGAAGATGTACCAGGTATAGTTCAAAACAAACCAAAGCATTAAAAACTGTTGACAATCCTTAACAGACCCCAATGTTTGTAAATGTTTGCAGCTTTCAGGCATATGAGTAAAGTTATATGAAGGGTATCAACCCACTGAGACCTAACAGATGAGGCTGTGTAGTCTGAAGAAGTAGATACTCTTTTCCCCATTTCCTTTTAAGAAGGCTAAGACACTAAAGAGATGTAGGTTTCGCAATGTGAGTCATCCTGTATTCTAATCATGACTGTGTGTATTTAATAGTTAAATATTTCTGCTTAACTTTAAAATAGATTCAAAAGATGCCAAAGATAATAAGGAAGCGCCTGGGAGTGAGGATTTGGAGCTGGAACTGGAGAACCTGGATATTAATGATGATCCTCTGGAGTTAGACTGTGGAGATGAGGCAGAAGATCTTACAAAAAAGCTTCTTGATGAGCAAGGTAAAAGGAATTGGATTTTAGAATTCTTTGTGGTTTTGTGATTACTTTTTTTGGACTTGGTGGTTTTTAGTTAGTAGATAACTAGTTCTCCCTGAAGTCACTATTTATTAAAGTTTAGTAACTAGAAACTTACGATTGTGGTAAAAAATGCATTCATAATAAGACATTCTGATACAAGTGAAAAGTATTATATGGAGGCTCATGTAGTGAAAGTTACTGATTTCATATAGCTTTTAAAAATAATCAGATGTAAAGGCAGTTATCTGAAAAGTGACTAGAAAGAAGTATGTAGACTACCATGCATAAATGACTTTGTCATCAAATGTGCTTAGGGTGCTAATAAAACATTTTCTGTTTTTAACTTTTGTTGAAATCTAAGATTCAGCTCTGCCTTTCTGTCTTGTTAATCATCAAAAGACTTGATTATTAATGGCTTAACACAGCAGGATTTAAGAATTGTAATGTCTAATTAGGCATAAAGGGCTGCAGATGGCACCTGTGAATATCTACCTGTGTTTTGCTGGGAGAAAGAGCAGAAAAATGTTTCTTAATTTTTCTTACGAGTTACAAGTCTTTCTTTCAGTGGTACTGGATAGTAGGAAAAGCAGCATTGGGTGTTAAGAGCCAAATTCATAGTGGAGCAAGTGAGGTTTTTACTTTGAGTCTAGTTTTTAAGACACACAGGTTTTGCTGCTTTGGATTTCCAAGGGCGAATGCAGGTTCTTTTCTTTAGTTTCTGAAGCTGGAAACTTGTTCTGTGTCTAGAATGTGTGTGTGGGGGGGGGAATCGTATCTGGTGTCCACTGACTACAGATTCTGTGGTTTAAAAGTGAAAATCTTACCTGGTCTATTGAATTGATAACCTAACCAAGCTGATGTGTGGATCTGTGTGTTTGAGCATTGAGTAGCTTGAACAGCTCTCCAAAGCCTCTCTCTGCTGGCCATAGGGATGGGTGAGGGTACATGGATCTTTGAACTGGGTGACTCTCTTGTCTACCTAAAGTTAGTTGAGCTGAAATTAATCTTGAGATTATGCTGGTCTGTGACACCTCACAAGTTCAAAGAAATTAGATAGCTCCAGAGTCAGGCTGTTTCAGGTTCCTTCTGAAAGGAAAACTGCCAGGATGATTCTATGTTATGCTTCCTTAGGTTTTTTCTTTTTTTACCTTCTTTGGAATAAATTTTCACTTGCTTTTACATTCTTCTCTTGAGTAGTCATCAGTCCATTAAGCTGGGTAAGATGTTAAGTTTTAATTGTAGGGCATTCACCTTTAGTGAGTTGTTACCCTCTGGTCAGATCTCAAACGAAACAGTGAAGAACTTGATTCCAGCTGTCTAGAAGGGAGGTACACACAGATGTTCTCTTGGAATCAAAAGAAAAAAGAGCACCTTATTCTGAATTGGTCATGCCCTGCTAGATAGGCCAAAAATACTTCATCAGTAGATACCTGAAGGAAAGTGAGTATTTCCTTCTTGTCTTTTTTGCAGGGATTCTTGACTTGATAGGAGGATGAAGCTTATTCCAAATGTAGAGACCAAGTCAAATACTATGAGTGAGGTCCTGTAGAAGTGAGGAAGGAATAACAGGAAATCAGATCTGAAATAGAAGGTGCAGTCTCTGTTTAGTTGTAGCTCACTGGGAGACAGTGCCAGTTGGAGTATGTGCAGTGGACTGACAGTCGTGCTTTTGATTGTGAAAGGAAGGTAGTGCATGTTTTGTCATAATATAAAATACTAATCATCAGTACTAGTTTCTGTTTTAAAACTGGTTATTGACTGAGCATTAGACATACTCCCACTAGAAAGCTTAATTGAAAATGTGTCAGAATGGGGTTTATTCTTTGTCATGAAAGAGCCAACCCTTAAAGAAATCTTTTTAATTTCTACTTTGTGAATGTAATGTCATTTGGCTCACGATATAAACTTCTTAGTGGAGAACTATTACTTCATGATTGTGTTTTTTGTGAAACATGGAAACTTAGTGTCTTTACAAAGTCTATACCTTTGTCAAATTTCTTTGATACTGACAAATAGCTTCATAAATTAATGATGGAAATTAATATAGATTGCCAAGTCCTTGTTCTGCTAGAAAACTAGGGTATAAATCACAGAATCACAGAATATTAGGAGTGGGAAGGAATGTTGAAAGATCATCCAGTCCAACCACCCTGCCAGAGCAGGATCACCCAGACCAGGTCACACAGGAAATCAGCAGTATGTAAATGTTATGTTACTTGAAACATATAGAGAAACACAGTGGGTGGGTGTGGGGGGTGTGTGTGTGTGTGTGTAATTCTGAATACCCTTGGTAGCAACAATATGTGTAATTAACAAAATACTGAATTTCGATGTTGTTTCAAATTCTGTGATGTATTTCCGTCTAGTGAACTGGTAGATTTTTTTCAGCCTTTCTCTTAAGTAAAATTCATTTGGGCTTGAAATTGGGAAAATTAAGTGTCCTTCAGCTGCAAAATACAGCTTTAACTTTTCTTCATATGCGCAGCATTTTTATGCCTCTGTACTTGAGGTAAGTTAGTGGTAATGTTTTACGCAAAGCCAGCGAAGAATGAAACCACTGTATTATTGACAGTATTACAAACATAAAATAGAGTATTCCTAGGTAGAGATAGGCCCTTAGTATAAAAAGGGAGGATGCAAGAGGTACAGCAGGGTCTTCAAAGAATAGTTAGGGTTGGCAGGGACCTTTACAGCTCACCTAGTCCACCTGTCTCACAGTAAATAGAGATCTTCAAATAGATCAGGTTGCTCAGAGCCTGTCCAGCCTCAGGTAAGGTCCAAGATGAAGAAAAGTAGCTTTAATTATTGTGATAATCAGGGGGGGTGTGGGTTTCATTGGCAGAAGGAGTAAGTAAATTATAGAGGGTATAGTAGGATAACTAGGGTAGACAGTACAGTCAGACAGTGGGTGTTGCGTATGTTTTATTACTTCTGCATCTCCTTCTGTTACTTCAGTCTTTTCTGCCCATCCAAATATGAGGGAGATAAGGCAGTTTGCCAAAGTATGTGTTTTTAAAGCAGGTCTGCACTGGTGTAGCAGCTCCTTTACAACATTGTAGTGCCTATTTCTGCACTTTTTTCCAAAAGTTTGGAGTCTGTAGTCAGCTAAGTTAAAGATAGGACATGTAGACGGAAAGTTGATACCGTTGAAGAGTTTTGTTTACCAGGTATTCAGCTAATTTATTTTGTTTCTCTATTGTGTTTACTATAAGTTGAATCTTAATTTTTTTTATTTTCAATATGCTCAGGGAAGAGAAAGGGAGCAGATAGCACCGGAGCTGAAAATAGTGACGGAAAACATGCTGAAAGAAGTGAGTTTTGAGGTTGTACTTAGAAGATAAAATGTAAAAAAAATGAAGCTGTGTGAATGCAGACAAAGATGTTAAGTAAGGCATGGCCAGGACGGAAGCCATCAAGGGTACTTGGGAGCAGGAGGAGTCTGATGTTAATATATACCTAGCACCGGTTTTTATAAGGTTGATCAGCAGCAGAGATGATGTGTAGAAGTGAGTATTAAATCAACCCTATTAATTTTGCTACATGGTTTAGAGAGCTAGCAAAGTTTCTGTCTGAAGAGCAGGAATTTTAAAAAAGACCTAAAATATTCATTAAGAAATATTTTTTTGGACTTGAATGACTTTGGAGACTAGATTCTGAACACATTCCTCAATGAGGCTTTGATTCAACAAGATGTTTAATATTATGCTTATGCCTAAGTTGTGCAAAGAGGGGTTCCAACCGATGATTTGCTCACAGTACTGGTTTGTACCATCTGAATATGAGGGCTCCTGCATCATCAAATTCATTACAGAAACTCACAGCGGAATAGCTCCCTAGCATTACAAAAACACTTCTGTTGTTTCCACTGACTGGGTGATACTATACAAAGTAGACTGAAGCTTTCGGGGAGAGTGGAGTTTCTAGGAGAGAGCCCTCTGTGAGGTCATATTCTTGTAAAAAATTGAAAAAAAGATGTTAAAAAGGAAGCAAGAGATTTCTCAGAAAGTATGTGTGTAGGAAAAGGGGGAGGCAAATAATTCTTGTTGCTGAAGTAGAAGATTGACACCAATCATTGCAGAATAACTTCAGTAAGTCTGTAGTGTTCTCTCATGCCCTGACAGTTCTGCTCCCTAAAAATTGCAGGATTGTGTGCATTTCAGGTTAAATATAAAAGTGTTTACAAAGAAAAAATACTCTTTCAGTCTCTGCAATGGTCATGCTGCATGATTTGATCTGCACCCAGATAGACTATTACAAATGGCCTAACTGTAATTGTTATACCTTACTACTTCTTTTATTTTTAAAAGAGATTATGCAGTTTTAAAACATGGTTATGATGAAAGACTAGAACTCAAGAGGATCAAAGTGAAAAGCAAGAAATGAACTATTTTTTTGCATGAATTGCATACTTAGAGTTACTGTTTGCCTTACAGAAGGAAGCCCTGACTGTTTCATTTCCTGTCACTGTAAAATTCTTAATATTCTGTCTTAAGTCCCAAACCTCCTTCAGGTACTACAAAAGAGCCTTTCCACTTAAAAAGGAACCACACACTGTGAAGAGAAGGACATACCTAGGAATACAATGTCAGAGTATCTGCAGCCCTCCAGTGAAGTAGAGGACCAGTGAAAGAGGCATATTTGGGAACCGTTGAAACTGAATCAAGAAAATCGAAATCAAGAGCAGGTCCTCTTGAAAGATTGTCTTGAAAACTGAGTTGTTAAGGACTTATATTTTCTTAATTTATTTCAAGAGCATTGAGTCACTTTGAATAGAAAACTGAGGTGAGACAACTAATTTCTGTAAGGGAAAGAAGAAGGTAGAACATCAGAAGGAGACAAGAAGGTGTTGCTGTAAATATGTAAATGGAAAAATGCATCAAAACAAGATTTGCTAGTAAAAATTGTCTGGTTTGAGCTATTGCGTGCATCCTAGTGAACTCTACCTCCGAGTATATGGATGATGAGAGAGTAAGGGTTCCATAAGCATTTAAAACTTCATGGTCCTCTTTTGAGCCTCTGGAACATCTTCCTTTTCTTTTTCCTCCTTTCTTAGCGAACTGTTCTCTCTTGTTCTTCTGGCCTGTGCAAGAGAGGAGGTGATGTCATCTGCTTTCATCTCTAGCATGTTCAGGATGGGGAAGCTGGCAGTATTTCTTGGAACAGTTCTTAATGTGTCTCCACCTATGCTCAACTGCTGCCCCCAGCTACCACCATAAAAAAAAAACAAACAACAAAAAACAAACCAAGGAAAAAAATGTTCTACAATGTGGCATCTTTGTTTTCTCCTTTCCTTTCAGTAACTCAAAAAAGGAACTTTGGTCCCTTATGCTAGTTTACCTTACTGTGTAGCCTGTAAAGACAAAGTGATTTTTACCACATCTTGGGCATTTTGTACTTTTATTTGGGTGCATTTTCATCACCACCACCACCACATTCACCTTTTTGAAGTCTCTGTTCTGCTTTCAGGCACCTCCTAGGTATTCATGTTACTGCTGAACATCCTCAAACTGAAAGGAAACCAAACATCACATTCCTTCTTCAGGAAGCAGCGTCCTTTTGTGTTGCTTTGGCCAAGGAAGGGTTCTTACCAAGTGTTTGTGTTTATAACTCACTGCTTTAGCTTATGTTGTGCTATAGAGCAAACTCGGCTCTTCTCTAAGACTTAGTAAAATGTGGAAAATTTTTGAAGCATAGCACATGTTTTGCAATGAAGGGATAACTGTAGGGAGACTGCACTGGTGAGACCTTCATGGTTGATATCAGAAAATCTGAATTTTAGTGGTAGAGCTGTCTGTCCTGCAGTCTTTACTTAAGTAGTGTCACTGACACAGTAACTACAGGTCACTGTCACTGCTTCCCATGTTGCAAATCACATGGAAGCATTTGCTGGAAAACTAAGTTGTCACTTGCCTCGCAATTGCTATGTGATCAACCCTCCATCCTTGTTGCGTATGCTTCTCTACTCTGGTTTCTGTGCAGCTGAAGGAATTACATTGGCCTCTGGTTTCACAGCCTCAAGTGAAAAGATGTCAAGAACACAGCAGATGAAAGAATGGCCTAAATGGACAGTTTTGATCAAAAACTCTATTTCTCCTGCAGGGCAAGGATACATAAAAAAGTAGAATCCACAAGTGCATTAAGGTGTTTTGTTTGGTTTTTCCCATATTATTTTTCCACATGTTTGGGCCTTCTTGTGGTCCTTCTTTTATCACCCAAAGGATAGCTTTCTAGGAATATGTATTTGTTGATGCTACTAACAGTATAAATTAGGAAGTAGGAACTTCATGAATAGGAAGACAAGTTTTAAAGGTGATACTTCTGACTTTTGTCAGCACAGACAATGACTTTGTTTTTAATTAAAAAATGAAATTTTGTATTCATTGTTGTATTTTTTTCTTCCATCTGTGGATGAATATTTAACAACTAAACATTACAAATGCACTATGTTTGGGGAATGTGTTTGTAAATCATTATATTTCATAGCTTAAAGATGTGTGCTGCTTGTTTGTTTTACTCTGTCAGAACAAGAGGATGAAGAAGCCAGTACTGGATCTCATTTAAAACTTATAGTAGATGCTTTTCTTCAGCAGCTTCCAAACTGTGTCAACAGAGACCTCATAGACAAGGTATAGTCATAGTTTTCATTTTTTTCCACTCTTAAAAGCTATAATGCTAGATCAAATTGATCTGAAATAAGGATTTGAAGCTTTGGAGTCTAACAGTAGCTGAATTAATTTTTAACCTGGAGGGAATACTTTTTTTTTCCCCTCACTCAGCCATTGCCCAAATACCATGTGATACTGGTTTCATCTGCCTGTTTTCTTATGTGTTAGTTGGTTTTAGAAGTAGACTTGGTTTTTCCCTTTTTTTTCCTCCTATCACTTCCTGACAAATTACTTCCCTTCTACCTAAAAAGCTGCTTTCTTCCTTGTGGTGACCCAAAGAATCAGTCTGTATTCCTGTGACTGGATATGTTTTCTAACTATGTCAGTTCTAGACAAAAAAATGAAGATTTTTCTTCATAGCTGTTCTTTAAAAATGCTTTTGAAAAGCATGCTTATTGCTTTAAATAAAAAACCACTGCATTAAAGGTGAAGTATTGTGTTGACTTCTCTTTTTATAGGCAGCAATGGATTTTTGCATGAATATGAATACAAAAGCCAACAGAAGAAAACTAGTGCGAGCACTTTTCATAGTTCCTAGACAAAGGTAAGAACTGAGTGGGAGCAAGCTGGATCCACCCTTTGACTATTTAACTTACGTATATACTTTTTAACTGTTTAAATTACTGAAGACCAGTGCATATTCCAAGTTGCATTTGTTTATTCCTGATGAGCACTTCTGGAGTGATTTATGCTGGACCACTGAAGAGATATCTAGGATTAATGATCAAGCAGTTCACCATGATATTTTGCCATAGCAGTGTAAAATGGTTTTTTGTAATTTTTCTTTTCTGGTACTTGTGTGTTCATAATGGATCTTTTAATGACATTTTTAACATGAAAGCAACAGCAAAACATAACCTTCTGTCAAAAAAGGAGAATATGTTTCAGTCAGGAGAATTTGCACTTATATGAAAACCTGTGAATAGTTAGACCACAGTGTAGTTTAGGAAGGAGGATTTCTTGTGATATGCTAATTCTGATATAGTACATAGCTGTTACAATAACCTTGTATCTCTCAGAGCTGCTTCTAGGCTGGCTGGTTTAGAGAAAGCAAGTAGAAGAGTTTGAGCCTGGCTTCTTCTGTCTGTGTAGATCTGTCCATGTAGAGTTTTGCTATTTCTCCTTGTCTTCCTTTGTGTAAGCAAGGTCCCTGCGCTTACAGGAAGAGCCTTGCTTGCAATCATTTTTGTAAATGTTAAAATAAAAATGTTAAATTCATTGGAAGGATAATATCACAGAACGTTAGGGATTGGAAGGGACCTCAAAAGATCATCTAGTCCAATCCCCCTGCCGGAGCAGGAACACCTAGATGAGGTAATGTACTTCTTTGCTCCCTGTTAAACTTGGACCTTAAATAGGCGTGACTTAAATAGGTGCAATTATGAAGGAGTCACTTTTCTTGCTCCACCTTCTTGCCCTATTTCTCCTGAGGTTGTTTTGATGCTGCTTTTAGTTTCTAATATTTCATCATCATCCTGGATTTCCTGTTGGAGTTCACACCACTTGGATTCATTTCCCTTTTATCACTGCAGGGAAATAAGTGGTTTGAGTGTCCGTTTTGTTTCAAGGCTTGTGTGGACGACTGCTTTAAATAAACAGACTTTGCTGGTTTGTTTTCCTTACTTTTAATCACTAACTTCTTGCACTGTGTTTTCAACCTTAATTCTAGCCTATTTCTACATGCCACCTGTAATAAGCATCTGCTGCACTAATAACCCTACTCTTAGCTGTATATAAAGCAATGGTTTGTTTGCTGACTGTGTGCATTAAGCTGATCTACATTGATACTAGTTTTGCAATTAGAAGTGCACATAATTTTTCATTCTCTTATGTATTCTTTTCTCTAAAAATTATGATTTTGACACCTGAGTCTTTGTGGACTTTGATAGAGGCCTGACAGTGCCTGAAATACAAATTACTGACAGAGGAGGCAGTTGAATATCTTATGTTAGACATAACAAGGTGCTCTTCAGCCCAAATTTATGATGCGGAGGAAATAACATTCCTATTTAGCAGCCTACTGGCAATCATAAAGTGTGGTTTCCTAGATACCATGAAAGCAGAAGTTACATTCCTGGTGTGTTGTGGTATTAAAAAAAGGAGATGTGCCTTTGATCAGGCTGTACTAGGAATGTGGTAAGTTGCTAGAAATGTATATCGTCTCCACATTGCCACTGATTTGTCTTCCCAATGGTACTTCCATTATCGCACAAATTCATTTCCAAAAAAAAGTTTAAAAAGTTAATTTTTTTCCTTAGGAACTCAGTAGACGCATAGACCGTGTGGCTGGCTCAAGGAGCTGCTGTTTTCATGATGTTTCTGCTCTTTAATAGTTGGAACTAATACTGCAATTAATAACTCGGCCGATCACTGTTCTTAAAAAATATTCTTAATATTAAGAAATATTAGTATTTCATGTACAATTATTTTTTAAATACCTTTCTACTTTCTGCTCTTAGATGTACTGGACTAATGAGTACTCCAACTTCCAGCTGTAAGGTCTTAAGTTCAGCTGTGTGTATCTTCCTGTTCTTTTGCCTGTGTTAGTGATGCCCGTCGCTGGGCTGCTAAGCAGGGGAAGCAGGATGTTGACGGAGTTTCTTGTTCTCAACTGCAAGCAGTTGCAATGAAGATACCAGCTGATGCAGTTGATTTTAAAGAGCAGTCTATCCTAATATTTAAGTTAGCTTTATTACTGCAGTGAGTAAAGAGGCAGGTCTGCTTTGTGTCTTGAAAGCAACATTTACAATTCTTGTGGAAAAATTCCAGGTGCATATATGTCACACAGTACTAATGGTTGCTATAAAATGCTACAAATTCACTTAAATTATTTAACATTCTGCTTCTAAGCTTTATATACTATGCACTAACAATGTTTTTGCTTCGTGTATGTCTTCACCAAGCCATGATATGTCTTTGCCTTCATTATTGTTGTTGCATTCTAGTTTTTACGAATTCCAGGAGTTTCTGCAATATCCCCCCAGGATACCATGGGAGAAGAAAGCCTGTAGTGGTTATGTTCTTGAGGAGTTTTTTCATTTACTGTTGCTTTTTTGTGAAAGGTTCAGGGGAACAATGTCCTTATAGGATGTAGATAAAGCAGTACATTTTCCAAAAGTGTTTAGTCTCCAAGTGTATCTGATAATGCTGTCTAAGTGTAGCTATTATGTTGGTAGCCATAATAAGACATTTCTGTAAAAGAGTAGATTCTGTTTCTTCTCTTGAGAGATCAGCTTTAGGAAATGTGCAGTAACAAAATTTTACCAATTTTACCAATAAAGTACAAAACTGGTTTCATGTTTGAGGAGTAATGCAGCCCCTGTAAAGTCAAAGTCCGTGTTGCCAGGGGGCTTTCTCGCTCCCACTAGAGTAAACTGGGACAAATGCAGGATTCTTCCTGACAGAAAAGGGACAGTTTTTCTTCAACTGTAGATTAGTGTTAGAATACATCATCACTGCACTGCTCTGTTGAGTACTTATGAATGGATTGCATTTACACTTTCAGCTGCGATTTGAACCTCCAACCAAACAGAACAGAAAGCCTTTTAAAAAGATTTTTTCAATGCTAGTATACAAGTGACTTTCAGATTTGCATTGGAGGATTGATTTAAAACTAAATATAAGCCTGTTAATTCAGAACCATACAGTTTGCAATAAAGTGACAGTACAGTGATTTACCTGCTTCTTTGCTGTCTAACTGAGTTATGTTCATGTCCGGATACATGTAATTGTACTGCACTTTTGTTGAATTTTTTTCAACTTCAATGTGAGAAGTTTAAAATCTGGTTTTAGGCCTTAAATTATAAACAATTTTAGATGAATGCTGAACAGTAAATAGGGGCTCTTGTGGCTTCTGAGTTTTTCTCTTCTCATCTATGGTGATCTATGAAGTTGCAAGTTTACTGAGCAAGAAATCTGTTGTTCATCATACAGAAATCTTAGCGTTTTCATTGGCTGCTGTTAATGGAGAAGTTAACTGCTTCTTGAGTCTTAAGTTCTGAGTGTTTTAACTCAAAAGATATAAATCTCATTTATAGCTACCTTCTTTCAGTTTCTTATCCTTAGAATCCTCAGTAGCAAGGTCCTTTTGTTCGTGGGCTCCCTCATTTGAGGATAAAATGGAGGGATGTGCTTCAGGTAGAGTTTATGCCATGGCTAATAAACAAAAAGTAGTTATCTGATAGCATGCACATTCCTCAGCATCGTTCTCTTCCCACTGAAGAGTGTGGGTGGCAGTTTGTACCTGTAAATACACTGCACTTACCTGGGTTATGATTATGCTTGTGAGGCAGGAGTTCTTGCTCTGTTGCTTCATTCTCTAAGCTGTCCTGGTAGAATGCCAGTTAATAAATGTACAAAACTTTGGATGCACCTGTTCTAGACAGACTGCAGTTAGGACTTTAATTGAGCAAAGGTGGTTTGGGGTGGTTTTTTTTGTTGTGTGGGTTTTTTTTAATAACACTTGAATTTACCACAAAAAAAAAAGTCCTCTTAGATATTTCACTGAAGTGCATTCCATGTCATCCAGGGATCAGATTAGACTAAATATCAATCCAAGATATGTGGTCACAATTACAGTGGTCAGAAGTAATGGAGTTTTGCTATGGTAGTTTATATTCAGGGTGCTTAACATAGGCTTTAGGGAGTAACTGACTCATCCCTGATGCTGCATCTTGCTTTGTAATGTAGAAGAGCAGGAAGAAAAAGCAATACTCTGGGTTTTGTGGGGTTTTATTTAGTTAATTTTTGCCCCCCTTCTCAAGAAAAATATGCTTTTGGAGAAAACAAAACACTACATTAGTCTTAATGCAGGTACCAGTAGATGGTGCTACTGATACTGCAGTCTCCATTTCTGAACATGAATTTTTCTCTCCTGTGAAGGGGATTGAAAGGATTCAATATCTGGTTACCAATTTCACAGTAATTGACCCAAGGCTTTTCCTTATTATATTTCACCTATTTAGAAATACCCCATCTTAGTATTCTTTCCCATGAAGAAACCTTTTGTGCTCTGTGAGTGAATAACAACAATGTGCTCTAAGACTAATTTTCCCTCAGGTATGTTCAGTTTCCAGAGATGAAATTATTAGCTCTCAGCAGGCAGGTACTCATTCAGACCAGAATACAACTTTCTGGTATTTGTCTTAAAAGAGATGCCATACGGAAATGCCCTCAATTAAAATGTACCCCCTCAATTCAGCCAAGGTCCTCTTGTATGTGTGCATGAAGTAATGAGACTTTCACTTCTTCTCCTAGAGTTAATGGCTAAACACTTAATAACATTGTAGTAATTTGTTGTGGCTGGTCATCCTTGACTCTGTGTTCAACAAGCTTCAAAAATGTAAATACAGCTTCAGTTATTGATTAACAAGAGAGAATAAAAGCTGTTAAATAGGTAACCAGAATACCTGGAATGTTTCACCAGGAGTTTTATGTGTTATCAGGACGGTGCTTAGCCATGCCTCTTCCAGGTAGTGCATTCTGATGCCTCTAATCCACGTTTTAGATATGTAATTATTCCTCTTTCTGAGACTGGATATTAAAGATCTTGGAAATGTGCCCTAGTGACACAGCAGTGGAAAGGAGAGATGAGGCAGTCATGTATGCTTTGTTTTGGGGTTTTTGTCTTGATGCTCTTCCAGTTTTACTTTGTACCAGGGCAAGCTCTGTGTATTGACTGTGCTTTTAGATCTTTTTCAGCAGCCTATTTTCTTTTTCCTTAACTTTTTCTAAAAAATTATTATCCCTAGCAGTAGGGAAACCCTTAATCCTTCAGAAAGAGGAAACTCAAGATCCGTTTTTCCCCTTGCAGGCAATTTCGCACTTGAAATATCTTAAATTTGCATGCTTCTCTCCAGTCACAACAGTAGGCTTGTTCTGCAGTTCACCTGTTTACGGCATTAGCTTACATTCTGGAAATAGAACAAAAATACTTTCTTCAGCTTGGTAAATGATATTATGGGGCCTCAGAGTGCAGTTGGTTTCCCTGCACTTAAAAGCGATACATGCACGTTTAAGCAAAGCAGCTGTGTTATGTTCTGTGTGCTGCTACATGATACTACAAACCATGTTTAAGTGTGTTTATCCCGTTTTTACAACAGGATAGAGCCTCTGATGGAAAGAAACAAGGTACAAACTGGGAAAAATACAAATTGCCCTCCAGAATTTCCGAAGTGCATGTGATAATATGAAATGGGTATAAAGGCATGTAATCAAAGAAAGAGAAAAGGAAAAATAAAGGAAACATCTATAGAAGATGTTGAAGTATTACCATTTGTGGGAGTACTAGCTGAGCTTTGGGGAAAAGAGTTGCCTTGTCATATCTGCTGAGCTTTGTTTTGTATAATAACACTACATTTATTTAGAAGTTCATTGCCTTAAAAATAAAGGTACTGACCTTCCTAGTTATGTCTGCTGCTACTTGAAGAAAATAAAATAGCACTAACAAATGGAGCTGTGTGTAAGAGTTTGTCATTTTGCACACTGAAAGGGGTCTGATTTTTTTTTTTTTTCATTGTATCCATTAACTTCATAAAGGTTGTATTCCGTAGTTAGGATGGTGTTTGGCATTTCACCTAAGGCAGTAGTTTTAAAAGGAAATTAGCTGTGAAGGATTCCAATGGGATCTGGTTATATACCTTCCTGTACTGGTATTTTTAAATGATACTGCAGTCTGAAGTGTGAGCCTATAAGATTGTATGTACGTAGTTCTGTCAGCACATGCACGTTCGCTCTTTTCACAAGCGAAATGGTACCCATGGTTGTAGACATGGATACGTTTTTGTCTATAACATCAATTGGTTCTCTATTTTATTATTTCTTTCGTTTGCAGGTTGGACTTGCTGCCATTTTATGCAAGGCTGGTTGCCACGCTGCATCCCTGTATGTCTGACGTAGCAGAGGATCTTTGTTCCATGCTGAAGGGGGATTTCAGATTTCACGTATGTTTTCTTGATTTAGTTTTTTGCATGGCGTTTAACCAATCTGTTAATTGTAATCTTTTTTGGGAAAAAAGAATGTTTGCGACTGTGTAGGTGCTAATTCTGAAATCTAGTGACTCGGTTTATTTTTTCTGTCACCCAAGCAGATTTGTTTGTAGAATACTAGATCTGTGTGTTTAATTTTTTTGCATATATATACAGACATATATGAAAAGTTGCATTGTTTGTAGTGTCATCCTTAATTTGCAGTGTTAAACAGCAATTAAAATAAACTGTGTAACAGTTACAAGGGAAGCTGCAAAAAATGGAGACTGTACTCCAGTTGTAAGTGCTAAGAGTTTTTGATTGATGAATAACTTGCATTTAAAATGAGAACTGACCTATTCTAACAGCAGATCTCCACTACAAGGTTACTATTGTAATATAGTGGCTAATACTGACAATGTAGTGCTTAAGTCTAAAATTATTTTTTTAGTTTTCATCAAAATTTCCTATGCCTCACAGATGTATTTGTCACTGTTGTTTCTTTCACCGTGTTCTAAGTTTTGTAATAGCATTGCTTGTGGTGCACAGTGATGACTCCTTCACTTTTTTCTGGTTTTTATCAAACAGGTTTCAATATTTTTTTTCTAATATTGACACTAAAAATGTCTGAATTACTCAGACTCGAGTCTTAACTATCTGAAAATAGCTCTTGTCAGAAAACCAGTTTTGTGTTTTGCTGAACATGATTATGTTTAGAAATAGAGATATGTTTGTATTTTGTGAGTAGAATTACACTGGATGTCAGTGATTTTTAAAAGAGAAGAAAAGAGAGGAAAAGAAAGGAAAGGTCTGTACTTTATTAAACCTGACTTGAAAACGCTGTCGATATTTAGTATTTCCTTAGGGACTACACCAGAGGTCATATTCAGAGACTACTTTTTGATTCTAGAAATATGAACTGTGGAATTCTTAACCACTACTTCACCATAGCAAAATGGGGGTGGCCAGCTTATAACTGGAGATATGTTAGAGGACTTAAGGTTTTTTGTTTGGGGTTAAAAAAGAAACACAGAATGTTCTGAACAAACAAGGTTGTAGGGGGACATTTAGGTAAAGATAGAACGTAAGGAATCAAATATCAAACACTTTTGAATTCTCAAGCTTATTGAGCACACTTAGGTGAAAGTGATTTATAAGAGAGGTATTTTTGAGAGCTTAAAAACAAATACTTTTTTTTTCAGGTAAGAAAGAAGGACCAGATAAACATTGAAACAAAGAATAAAACAGTGAGATTTATTGGAGAACTTACCAAGTTTAAGATGTTCTCCAAAAACGATACTCTCCACTGTTTAAAGGTTAGTGTTGTGATGGTCCTGTACTACTGTACATGTATACTGTGTATCCACGTCCTATTCCCCTTCCTGTATCTATTGCTAATGTGATCTGTTAATTGCATATGATATTTTGAACCCTGGTTTCTGTTGCTGCTGTGTGAGGAAGCTTTTACTGCCGTTGTAGACGCTAGAAAGTTTTCATTTTTTGATGGTAGGAATATGTTAAAATAAAGTTCTACCTTTGGACGTAACCAAATTGCTAATTCTTTTCTTTGGAAAACATGAATTTCTGGGCATTATCATCTCAGTTTGCATGCTGATAGTCATTCCAATTTATCTTTGATATCAAGTCCCAAATTAAAAATGGGTTTTAAAAAGGTGCATTTTAGAAAACATGCTTGAAGACTCACATGGGTTAAGATCACTTCCTCTAGAAGTAGTTTCTACTTGTTGACTCATTTGGTATCAAAGTTGAATTCTCTAAAAAATTATACTTGCTCATCATTTTTCCTCTCATGTATAAAATACTGTGAAACACAATGCTCTATTAATTTTTAGTTGTTGCTAACTTAAATAATACAGTTACATTAGATATGCTCTGAGGTTATTTTGTCCCTGTGCAACACTTATTGGGTGGTTTTCCAGTGGCAGAAATGTTAAAGTAGATACATCAGAGTTGGAAGGTTTATGGGAGAGATTATACTGTGTTTCAGTATTGTAGTGTTTTTATTCTAGACTTAGGAAGCTTCCTATGTTTCAGGTTTCTGGAGCCTAAATTTGGTGTCTAGACTGTTCTTATAATACTTTTTTAATGAGATGAATGTTTTGAGTTTTGTTAATGTCTGATCAGTGAAAACCATTTGCATTTTTTTCTTAAAGAATATGGAACATAGCGGTAGTGTACAGTCTGATAGATGCAAGGTGCTGTTTTCTGCAATTAACAAAGATGATTTTTTAACATGCTGTGTTTTTATATCAATATATACCAGATGCTTCTGTCTGACTTTTCTCATCACCATATTGAAATGGCGTGTACGCTGCTGGAAACCTGTGGAAGATTCCTCTTCAGATCACCAGAATCTCACTTAAGAACCAGTGTTCTTCTGGTAAGAGAGAAAACTCGTTTTCTTATGGAGGAGGGTGTCATACACTGAATCAACCCAATTACTACTTTTATTTTCTGGCTTTGTGGTGTGGTCTGACCGTAATGATGATTGTGACTAATATCTTAATTGTCAGTTACAAGCTCTAGTAAGTAACCTTCTGTTAATTTTTATCTTGAGTGCTTGTGGAGAATAAACTTCTTGATTCTTTAATAAAACCAGAGACATGTATGGGAGGAGAATGCATCAGTTTTCCTGAAATCTTGCCTCCTTGGTGTAGAATGCGGTTGAGATGGACTGGTGTTACGTATGTTCAAGTCCTGGCCTGTCCAGTGTTGTCTCAATTCTGAGATGGCACCTCCTGTGAGAATAGCTTTCAGGAAGTATTCTGGAGAACACCATTTGACCTGTAAATCTGTTCATCACTTAAAACGTAAATAAAGAGTTCAGTTTCTGAAGCAAAAAGCTATTACTTTTGAACTAAAATAATTCAGAGACAGGGCAAAAACAGAGGATGAGTTTGACGGAATATAGTCACTGTACCTGAACACACCTGAGATACTATTTGAGAGGGGAAAATGGTAGTGAATAGAACTGGAAATGGTAAGATATTTCAACTGGAGGTGAAGACAGTTGTGAAAGAAGTGGTTTCTATGCCCTGCATAACAATTTGAGGTTTTAAATTTGAGCTCTTGACTCATGCTCCTTGTTGCAGAGTGCTTTGTTCTCCATTTTCTAAGTTTGCCAGCTGAAGCACTTTATTGTTAAATATATTCTTTTCCATAATCAAGTCTTTTTTCCCCTGAAAACGCTCTCCCATTATCTTTAAAAGGCGCTTTACTCTTTGCTGCCATTTTTTGTGGTTAATAAAAATTTTAGAAGTCAGGAGAAGTTAAAAACCTTTGCCAGAGCTGCTTTTCCTGACTGACTACTTTTAGTCTAATGTGCTGCAAAAATGCTTCTTGTTAGCTGTATTGCTGAAATCTGCCTGATCAGTGCTAAACATAACTGAAGTCCTAAGACAAACCACAAACACTTTCGATGGCTGAGGCTTAAAGCCTTAGCAGGTTTCAGATAAAAGTAGTGGGTTTTTATGTGTTGAGGAACCAGAAAGTAGAAATGGACTAAGATAGTTTGGAATCTCTACCGATTTTAAGATGTAAAATAGGTTTACAGCCATCGCAATAAATGCATCTTCTAATGTTACCCTATTAAAACTATAGAGATAACTTTTGACTTAAATAGTGTTGTACAAATTGGGTCATAGGCTTATGGTACTGGTCAGTGTGAACCATAGGAGAGATGAGTCCCAAAGCAAGCTGGTTAGGCTCTTATGGGGAAAAAAAATTAAGTAAATATAAAGATGATCTTATCAGTGACTCCTACGGGTAGAACTAAGGCCTGTTGATCTTTTCAATAGTTATTGCTCTTACTACATAGTATGCCATCAACAGTAAAGATGCCAAACAGGCTGCATGTCTCCTATTAAATACAATATTAATTTGTCCTGATGTGTAGGAAAGTCATAGTTAAGAATGGATTTCTAATAAATAATTTTCCCTTCATTACTTTTAAAGTGTTCTGTAAGGGTGCCACAAACTTAGTGACACCGAGTGCCTTATTCTAGAGAAACATTTATGATCACATTCTGGTTTTGTGGAACTACCATCGTATTTTGCAAATTATTTAAATCATTTAAAGATTCTTCTTTGATCGGGACAACGTTTGTTTTTGTTAATAATTCTTCTTGGCAAGTCTTTCCGTGTCCTTTATGTAATTTAAATTATTAATGTAAGACTGACTTGGCTTTGGAATCGGTCTGTTGATAAATGGATTATTTGAATTGGATTATTTGAACTGGTGCTTTGGAAGGAAGATCAGCATTATCTTGATCTATGTTTCTGTAATGTAATCATGTGAAAATGTCAAATTCTTGTGTTATGCTGTTGTGGTCTTATTGAAAAAATGTTTGAAGTTTTGGTATTAAAATCTTTCTGATGCATTTTTAATCCTTTCAACTTAGACAGTTGTGTCAAATTGTGGTCTTAAGCTCTAAGGCAGGATCACTTGTATTTATATACATACAGAACTTAAGGTACACAGTGACTCATTTCTCAGGGTGACTCCTTTTACAGGTGGAGTTGAAACTGAGGGAGAATATTGTAGAGAGAGAGGCTGTGACAAAGTGATCACTTGTAGTTAGAGTGAGACTGTGTTTATCCATAGTGTGCTTCCAAGAAATTTAGTGTGTTGGTTTTGAACTGCTGGAACAAGTAGAAGGGCAGAACAGTGTAGGTAGTAAAGGGAAGGAGGAGCTGCACAGTTTGTGTCCTATTACAATCTGATAATTTAACTGTCAGTCATGCTGAAATGCTGTTTTGAATTGGACTTTTTCTGTCTGTTAGGTTTTACATGGTGACTGTACTCTCATTTTTGTGCTGCTTGCCAAAAAGTAATTCTATTTGTTGCAATGCAAATTGATATTATCTTTCCTTTTTAATTGGGGGAGGCATGAGCAAGACCGTTAACCAGAAGAGCACCTCCTAATTTTCACCAGATTTTCTTGGGTCTGCAATAATGCACCACGTGCAGAGAAGTTTTGTTACTCCCCAAGGGGAAAACCAAAACCAAAAGCAAACACTCTTTTACTGTTTTAATGGATGTTTTCGTATTGTTTGTCTCTTTTTATCAAAGGAAAACCAGAAACCTAATCTTGAAATGTAATGCTTTGCCTCTGTAGTTCTTTATTTTAGCCTAGTACAATGAAGAGCCAAAATAGTTCATGAGCTTAAACACTTTTTATACTGCAAGTTTTGGTTTTTTCCTCAGAAATGTGGTGTTATGGTTGGTCTTTCCTGCTTGTCCATCTGACTTCATGCCTTAAATGAAAAAGGACTGAAAAGCAGATGGTTGCTTAAAATGGTGATGACATTTAATAGAGATTAAGACTAATATCGTCCCCTTAGAGTTCAAATATATCCTTGGGATTGCTTAAAAAGACTCTAAATTACAGTGATTTTGAGACACATCTCTTCTGGGAAGAAACTTTTTAATTGTAAACTGTGATTTACTGTGTAATGTGCAACTTTTTGTAATGCAGAAAAATATGGAAATTATGTAGCTTTAGGGTTTTTTTAATTTTATTTGCAAGTTTTTCTTCAGTTTTTCTGATAAATGTCATAAGGCAGTAGAAAGATTATTTTTTTTCTTGGTACATCTAGAAAAATTGAAGAACTTACTAAATAATGCTAACATATATGACACAGTAAGGTTTTGGAAGTTTCTACTGTAACTGGTTTTTTTCCCCCGCATAAACAGTTTATGTACTCGATTGCTAAAGTGCTGTGCATCTGTTAAGCACCTGTAAGTGACTTTACTGCTACTTGAGAGAAATTTCCCATTTGGAAAGCAGCAGGCTTAGTTAGGGAATCAAAAGTGGAGGCCGTTTGTGTCATGGAAAAGGTTAAAAGCTAAATTCCTGAAGGTTTGTGTCAGATTGAGACCTTCCTGACAATGGATATACAGAATCTATGGGGAAAATTATTTGTTGGGTTACTATGTTACGCAAAACTGCTCTTCCTCACTGAATTAGCAGCTGAAACTCGGTGTTAAGGAGCTGTCTGAGTAGGTTTACATTTCAGTTGAACTGAAGTACTGTTTTGTAAAAGAAACCTGAAATTATTCAAGTTCAGTGGAAAGTCAACCAGAATGAAAAATTTGGCTTCTTCATCAATGATTAAAGAAGGTTTAAACTCTTTCCATGAGTTTACCGGACTGCATGAATGCAAATACTAACATTTTTGTGTGGTAGTACAGCAGAACTTGCACCTTAGTTTTGCTTATCCATTTGATGCTGTAAATTATTGTATAGCCAACCTCTATTGAATAGTAAAGTCTAAACCAGTGCAGTTTCTTTTCCTCTTTGTACCATCTTAGAGTGATTTTGAATAGATGGAGTTGTCCATAAAAAAGCATAGAGCAGTTTATAGAATTATACATGGATAAACACATGTATATAAAAATTGTTTTATAATGAAATTAATCTCATCCTCATCTTTAAATGTAAAAATCAGCAGCTTTTTATTCTTGTATGGAATTTTTAGATCCAAGAAAGTTTTCAAACTCACAAAATAAATCTTATCCAGAAATAAACCTGGAGAAAAGACTGTATTCAGTGAGGAAAGTTAGGAGACTCCTGACAATTAAGCACACTAATTAGTAATAGTAACCTGTAGTTAGTTTGATTTTTCTGGAAATACTGCTTTATGGTAGATACGATTTTCCTTGCATTTCAGCTACTTTAGTTAAGTAAAATCATGTTTTGAATAGAGTGGCTGATAATCTTACTGTTTATCTAAACAGTAACATTTGGATTTCAAGTCAAACTTTAAATAAACTTCGAAAACTTTTCTCACCACAGCTGAACCATTATAAAAATAGGGATTATAAAGAAAACTTACCTTGGAAATAGCAACACAGAACCATAGATATGCTTTGTCCTTTCTTATCTCTGCCCAGGCTTTTAACTTAATTTTCTGCAACCTTTCATGTCCCAACCCATCATTCTGTGATTGTGATATTTTTTTTTTATCTCAGACTTAACTGTAAAACCCTTTGGCTTGAGAATGCAGCATGTCAGCACCTTTAACTGATTATTTGCATTTATTTCCAGGAACAAATGATGAGAAAAAAACAAGCTATGCATCTAGATGCACGCTATGTTACAATGGTAGAAAATGCCTATTACTACTGTAATCCTCCTCCAGCTGAAAAAACTGTGAAGAAAAAACGGCCTCCTTTGCAGGAATATATTCGTAAGCTTCTCTACAAGGATCTCTCCAAGGTCACCACAGAGAAGGTAAAGCCTTTTGAAATCTTTCCAGATTTTACTGGAAATGATGTAGTATTAACTTTCAAAGAGCTTTTTTTTTTCCTAATTGCAAGGGAGATGGATTGGTTTTGTATCCCTGATTGTTAGAGTAGTTTTGTTCCTTTTATTGTAATATATGGAAGCTCTGGTCATGAACCTGCATTCTCCAGTCATTAAGTGCTGAATAAATAAAGAACGAAATAAGAATCTTTGTATTAAATATCTTGCATTCAGACTAATAGTCTACAGTTAAATACAGACTGTAAGAGCAAGGAAATTATGGATCGTGTTTGGACAGCTTGATTAGTAAAGGACAGCAGTTGGGTTACATATATAAAGCTTTCTGTAGCTACTGCAGATATGGAGGATGCTTGAAAAAGAACTGAGGTTACTTGCAGATGCTTTCAGGGATTTCATCCCAGCCATGGGAGAGAGGGGATGACTGAATATCTTGATATTTTGCCTGCTAAAATGTTAAGCTTGTCTTAAAACTTGGTTTAGGTCCTGAGACAGATGCGCAAGCTGCCTTGGCAGGATGCAGAAGTAAAAGACTATGTTATATGCTGTATGATCAACATCTGGAATGTGAAATATAATAGTATTCACTGTGTAGCCAACCTCTTAGCAGGTTTGGTCCTTTACCAGGAGGATGTTGGAATCCATGTTGTGGATGGAGTGCTAGAGGATATTCGACTAGGAATGGAGGTAAACAACCAATGTATTTGTTAAGCCATACACATCTACTTATGTTGAAAGGAAAACAATTTAAAAAACATACTTAAGGGAAAGAATAATTGGATTTTGTGGTTTTGTCTGACTTTTCTACCCATCTCAGTTTGCTTTACGTAGGTTTATTTAAATTAAAAAAACAACTCCCCCCAAAAAAACCTGAACAAACCGCAAAGAATACTAAGACAGTTACTTTGCCCCCTTATTATAGTAAGGGGATACAACTTATTCTTGCACAGTGTAGTCATATTCCTGTAACTTTGGAGACTAGCCCACATTTTGATGGGGTTATAGTTACAAGAAGTCTCTGGCCAATGAAAAATCATAGATTTAAGAGAGAGTATGTTAAATGTATTTGAACTGTATAATAACTACTAGCTGACCAGTTTTCATAAATCCTTTCAGCACTTTTTAATGTTTAATTTGGCGTAATTCGTGTAGTCGTAATTAGCCATAATTAGCCATCTTGTATTGTAACGTATTCCATCGATTTAAACTTAAAAAAATAAACAGACACAGCCTTTTACAGAGACTCTACTGTATCTGCATGATGAAGTGATTTTTTTTGTTGTTTTTTTGATAAAGGTTAACCAACCAAAGTTTAACCAGCGGCGGATCAGCAGTGCCAAGTTTTTGGGGGAGCTGTACAATTACCGAATGGTGGAATCGGCTGTAATATTTCGAACTCTGTATTCTTTCACATCATTTGGTGTGAACCCTGATGGTAGTCCTAGTCCACTGGATCCTCCAGAGCATCTCTTCAGAATCAGACTAGTCTGTACAATCCTCGATACCTGTGGGCAGTATTTTGACAGAGGATCTAGCAAACGAAAGCTTGATTGCTTCCTTGTATATTTTCAGGTATTCTAAACTAAATTTTATGTAGTTCTGTAGACTTCTTTAGCGAGCTAATGTAGGTCAGCACTATTAAGTCTTCCAGTTGGGATGGCGTAGCTCTTTGAAACAATACTGCCTGGCACTGACTAGAAAGCAGCTTTGCAGGAATAGAGCCGAGACTCCTGGACTGTATGAATGTGGTGGTAAGTTCTGCACCGTTAGGGTGATGAAGGCCAACATGCTGCATTGGCAAGGGTTTAGCCAGTGGATTGAGGAAAGTAAATTTTTTTCTTTGGCCTTCCCTTCTGCATGACACTTGTGATCCGGCATCTGGAACACTTTTTCAGGGATGCCTGATGCATGAGAGGAGAGACATCAGCAAACTGAGTCCAGTGCAGGGTCACCAAATTGATCAGGAGGCTCTCACTGCTCATGTTGTAATTTTGCTCAGTTTGGAGAAGAGAATGCTCTTTAGGTTGCTGTCCTCAGTAGTTTCTGTAGAAAAGGAGCAGCCAGATACTTCTCAGGCATTCACAGTGAAAGAATAAGAAGTAATGGTCACGAGTCACAACAAGGACAGTTCTGACTCAGTAGATGTAATGGAGAAGGGGAAAGACTTCATAGGGGGAATATTTAAACACTGGAATGGTTCCTCAGAAAATGAGGAATTCCAGTCCGTGCAGTTCATGCTAAAACTCTTTGGACTTAATTTCTTTTTCTTTCTGCTTCTCTTTAAATTATTATAAGACAAGGATAATAAAAGAAATAAAGTGATAGACTTATTTCATACCTTCAGAATGCATATCCTTCGTCTGTATATGAGATGTAAAATGATGTTTCAGAGTATGATACGGTCCTATTTTTAAACCCAAAATAAACTTGTCAGTGACGAAGTCATAATATTTTTTGTTACACCTTAACCTTCAACAAGCTTTCCTTTTGACCATGTCACACTTTAAGTGAAGATTCTGTTACTCGTGCTTATCTTCAGATGCAGTTTTTGCAACACCTTTGTGCTCAGATTATACAGTTAGATTCACTTAAGATCAGCATTCATTTTTTTAGTTTTGTTGTAAGGGGTATGTGCTAAATTTGTTATGAAGCAGTAGTAGTAGTGATGTAGTGATATAGAAGTAGTGATGTGAGATCTTTTGCATTTTCTATTGTACAAACGTGGCCAGGCATTACAAACCTCATAAGTTAGTTTATAAATGCCAGTATGCATTTAACTTATTTGAATATTTTGTGTTCTAGCGGTATGTTTGGTGGAAAAAAAGCCTGGATGTTTGGACAAAAGACCACCCATTTCCTATAGACATAGACTACATGATCAGCGATACACTGGAACTGCTGAGACCAAAGATAAAGCTCTGCAATTCTCTGGAAGAAGCTATCAGACAGGTGCAAGACTTGGAACGAGAATTCTTAATAAAATTAGGTAAGAAAATGTACAAGGGAAACAAGGTATTTGTCAATTCTTGTATTTCCTCAAGTTATCTTTTGTATGGTGATGATAGGTAACTTGTTATTCTCGCGATACGATCTTTTTATTGTAGTGATAGAAATATTTTTGTACAACTTCTTTGTATTTTTCTGATCACCACAGAAATCGTATAGAATCTTCGTAACTGTCAAGTGATTGAGTGCTTTAAAAAAAAAGTTACTACGTTAATATGAATGCTGTTAATGTAGTAGTATTTGGAGTGGAGGAGTGTGCGCGTATATATTAGTATATGGAGTAACATGGTGTGAATGATGATGAAGAAAGCTGTTAATCAGAAAAATGTAGGAAGCACACACTGCTACAAAAAGCAAGGAGTATCTGCACACTCAGTTACTACAGGCTGTGGTTGGTGAACACTGATGGAAACCAGCTTGGGTGTTTTGGTAGATTGGTTACATGCAACTCCGTGTTCCTCCCTTTTTTTTTCTTCTTAAAATGTATCTGTCGGTTAGGACATGTTCTACCTGCTTGTTCTGCTAAAACTACAGTGATGTGCAGTTATAAATATTGCTGTGTTAAAAATCAGTTAATTTCAAGGAGAAAGGAGTTGGGCTTGCAGCACAGCTCAATTGACAAAATACCGGTTGTTGTGTATCTAAAACTGCTATCATCCTATTAACCTTTAAGCCTTTTAAATGTATCAGTTCTTAGTAATTATTGTATACTGCTGTGCTCGTTTCTCATTAAATGGAGTTTTCTAATATTCCACTTTTATTTGAAGACAAGCTTGGTCATGAAAAGCTTTTATATGTAAATGTTACACTTTACAAGTATTAATTATAGCCTTAATAGCACTTCATCTAGTTAGACAGGTTCCATTTTTAAGAATAACCGTTTAATCCAGTGCGATGATTATGTGTAATTGCCAGGTGAAGCGTTGCAACTTCTGTTCTAGAAGGAATTTATATTTTAATATGCTGTTCATGTAATTGGCATGTCTTAAAATTATGTGTGTAACAACTGAAAATTGCTTGATACCTTACGCACAAAGTAAGCTAAAATGTCTTGAGGGACAGAGGTGGCAAGCAGGTCAGTAAGAAAAACTGCAAGATGAACTAAAATGGAGTGAGAGCTGTCAGTCCTGTCTGAAGTAGGATGAGCACACTAAATTATACTTCTGGAAGAGATTCTGATTTCCTAAAGACTTTATATAGGCATCTATATCCTCATGGGTTCATGTGCAGCCTTGGGGCATTAGAAAAGAGTCAGAAATGTTTATTACAGGCTGAGAAAATAGCTGCTTCGAAACTGTTAATTGACAGCAGTGTGAAGGACTGGAACTAAGACTGCAGGGGCTTGGTGTCTTTTGGGCTCTGCTGGTTTTAGAGAGCGTCTGTAACTTAGGCTCGTGTTTCAGTAACATTGCATGTTGAGTTTGAGGATATTTTGAAGCAGTTTGCACGGTGCAACTTCTTGATTGCTGTTCTATGGGAGATTTTAAACGTTATGGAAAACGTTTTCCTCCTCTTCTGGCAGGGTAATTATTACCCTTCACGAATAATGTAACTATATAGAAAATGTTTCATTCAAAAGTTAAATATTATGACTCATGGGAAATTTTAGTGTTCAGTAACAATGAACTTCTGATCTTCCACATATAACTTGTGTGATTATAAGCGTTCTAATTATTGTTGTAATTATGTTCTAGTTTCTTGTTCTAACTCTTTCTTTACCCAAATTTCAGGAATTGTGAATGACAAAGATTCCAAAGATTCCATTACAGAAGGAGAGAATCTGGAAGAGGATGAAGAGGAGGAGGAAGGTGGAGCAGAGACAGAGGAACAATCTGGAAATGAAAGTGAAGTAAATGAGCCAGAAGAAGAGGTGAACTTAATAACTTATCTTACCTCATGTAAAAAGAATGAATAGTAAATATTTTGATTACTCATTACTTTCTCAAGCCCTTCCATGTCACAGAGTTAGCAAGTGAAATGTGGGTATGCACAATCCAGTCACTACTCTGAAGTTATTTCCATCCCAGTTTTGTACATATACAGAGTGTCTGAGGCTTATTCCAGAGAAATTCTAGCAGAAACTTGAACCTGACAACTTTGCTCAGGATATATGCTGCTTCTCAACAAAAAAGATGTCTTCAGTTTTTGGCATGAAAACAGTTCAGATAAAGATTATCTGTTGTGGTAGCAAATGTATTGACTAGATGTCAGAGCAGTTGTGCAGGAAAAATAACAGGTGTATGCCTGTATAATATGAATAAATAAAAAATTTATGGAGCGTAACAACCTTCCTTGTTTACTGTGCCAGTAATCTTTTAAATAAAAAATGGTGAGGCCAATAAAAAAAGACGTGTACATAGAAATTCTAACTTGTCACAATGACACAGCAAAGTTGACGTGTTAGTGGTAGTGTTATGAACAAATCAGTTCATCAAGGAAATAGGAAACACATTTTCTCCTTATGCTTGGGTTGGTTGGTTTACTAGTAAGCTTTCTTTTAGTCTGTGCTGCTCAGCAGTAAAGTTGCTGAAGTTTGGCTGGGTTTGTGCCTTTACACACAAATTAATAATATTAGAATTGTAAAAGGATGGGGAAGGGACCTTTAGAGATCTTCTGTCCAGCCTCTCTTGCTCAAAGCAAGGTCACCTGTAGCATGTTGCCTGAGGCAATGTCCAATCCAGTTTTGAGTATCTCCAAGGATAGAGGCTCCACAATCTTTCTGGGCAATCTGTTCCAGTGTTTAAACACCATCACAGTAAAGGGGTTTTTTTTAACTTACATTTAAGGAGAATTCTTCAGCTTGTGTCCATTGCCTCTGGGTCTGTCCTGGGCACCACTGAGAAGAGTCTGACTCTCTCTTCTTTTTTCCCTCCATTCAGATATTTATACACATTAAGATGATCTCCCTCGACCTCAAGCCTTCTGTTCCCCAGACAACGCCATCTCTCTCAGACTCTCCTCCTATGATAGATGCTCCCATCCCTTAATCACCTTCATGGCCTATTGCTAGACTTGCTCCAGTATGTCCATATCTGTGTTATACTGGGGAACCCAGAGCTGGGCACAGCACTCCAGATGTGGGTTGCCTGTGCTGGGCAGGCAGGAAGGATCACCTCCTTCAAGTTATTGTCAGTCCATTTCTCCAGCTTGTTGAATTCCCTCTGAGCAGCAGCACAACTGTCTGCTGTGTTAGCTGCTACTCTCAGTTTTTTGCTATACACTTGTGAAAATGTCAGAAAGCCAAGTGAGTTCAGAGTGAAACACTGAATACAAAACAAATTTACTAAGACTGAACTAAACAAGTTTGGGTGGGGGCAGAGTAGGAAAAGTGCAGAAAGTGTGTATGAGGAATCAGATGCAAGTGGTCTTTTTTGCTTTAAAACAGTCAGAAGTTATTCTCAAATTTTAAACATGTAATATTTCAGGAGGGCTCTGACAATGAGGAAGAAGATGGTGAAGAAGAGGAGGAAGAAAACACAGATTACCTTACAGACTCCAATAAGGAAAATGAAACTGATGAGGAGAATACAGTACGTATTGTTTCTTTAGATAGGTGAATTGACTTTGTATCTTTGGTTTTCTTGACTGAATGTTTCTTGCTAATGCTCCTTGTAACATATCTGGGCAAACACAGCAAGAACACTCCCTGCTAATCTTTCAAATAGGTTTTGGAGCTTATTTTTGTATTTTCAAACTTTCATTATTACCTTCTAAAAATATTTATGTCATCAACTTTACTACAACATGTTGTCACAGGACCGTGCGCTTTCACAGGTAGCTAGACTGGAAAAAAGATTGCATAAATGATGGTTTTGCAATGGTAGCAAACTGATATGGTACAACAAGGTAAACTAGTTATTCTGTACTAGATCTCAAAACTGAAAAGGAGACAAACCAAGAAGTGCAAAATTTCTAAAATATAGATTTGAGATTGGCAGATTATAACACCCGTAGCAGAAGAACTCATCTGGTGAGCCTGACTTGCAGTTACGTAGTAAGGAAAGCAGTGGTCATTATAGAACAATGTGCTGGGGTATTGACTTCAAACATTTTTATTGTAATTAGTTTCAAATACTAAAGGACAGTATTCATCTTGAAAAGACCATCTAACTTTATGGATTTAATGGAAAAAGTTAATTAGGTGTGGTAGGGATAGAGACTTTTCTTTGTGTTGTTGCTATATCTAGAATGGGTATATGTGCATCTGTACACATAGGCCAGCATGTCAGAATGAGCAGCCAGCCTTCATAATTACTGATGCAATGAACATCAGAAAATATTTCTTCAAGAAAATAATCCATACTGGAAACTTTAACAATTTATTTATTTAAGCTTTTGATTATGTATGAGATAGAAGCAGTAAGGACTTGAATATTCATATTTCTCGATCTAATGTAATGAAAGCTTTTTTTCCCCATTGCAATAGGAAGTAATGATTAAAGGAGGAGGACTTAAGCATGTCCCTTGTGCAGAAGATGAGGACTTCATTCAGGCACTGGATAAAATGATGCTGGAAAATCTTCAGGTATAAATATTTATTTTCTTAAATCACGGTAATTTGATGTACAGCTAGCTTGATTTGATGTTTCTTAAAAGTAAATAAAAGATTAATACATGGCTTACCATGTTAAAGAACATGGATTTTCTTTTTTTTTTATTTGTGGCCTCTTCTCTGCAATTGTCATGTTTGGATAAGTAGCTTTTGGTAATACAGCTGTTAATTGTATTGTTTGCCCGGCGACTGACATACTGACAGATACTTTATTAGATGAGTAATAACTGCATCAGACACTATGCAATGCTTCTGAATTTTTATTGTAACCATGCAAGGACTATCCAAGCCTAGGTTTTAATATGTTTAAAATTACATTTAAATTTACATAACGTCTAAGTCCTATTTTTTTTTCAGTCACATCGAGTAAATATTTGAGTATTGCAAGTCCCGTATGAGGAATACATTAATAACTTGCTACAAAAGATCTTGTATGTAGAATGTCTGTTCCCAGGTGTGTTTGATCAAGTCTCTAGATTTCTTTACTTAAAGGTTAAGGTTTCTAAAATTCCTTTGAAATTTGAAATATTCCATCCCTGTAACTTCCTTCTTCACAAGCAAGGAAATCAAGGGAAGATGTAATAAAGCCCAATACATTTATTTATATATTACTTTGTTTTCTTGGGAGGTTAAAACTTTTCTCAGTCATGAAAACACAAATATTTCCAGACTGACATTTTTAGCATCTGGTCATTAACAGAATTTACTTTTTTTAATAGCAACGGAGCGGTGAATCTGTGAAAGTACATCAGTTGGATGTTGCTATTCCTCTACATCTCAAAAGTCAGCTCAAGAAGGGTCCCCCACTTGGAGGTGGGGAAGGAGAGTCAGAGTCTGCAGACACGATGCCATTTGTCATGTTAACACGAAAAGGCAACAAACAGCAGGTAAGAATTCATGTAAGGCTTAGATATTGCTTAAATAACTAACTAAATAAAATCCTTTCACTTTTCTGAAAGTCACACTGACTTCTGAAGTTACAGAACGGTTGGGGATTTTTTTTCATCCTTTTATCCGATGAAGATGCGGACATCTTAATCTTGATAAATAGAAAATAGCATGTGTAATTTCTTGGAATTTTTGTTGTTAATAGAAACTGGGTAGGAAAATTCTATGGTTAAATTATGCCATTACTTACTACATTTCGTGATCACACCAGTGGGACAGTGGTAAGCTTTATATGTAGATTAAACATAGTGAAGATGAATGCTTGCAGTTGGATGACTGTCATTGGAAGTTAAAAGGAGTAGAAAATAAGGAATATTCCAGAATCTTCCAAGATTCTACAGATTTTTGTGAAAACACATTCAGCTACAAATCAAGATATACGGTGTTTGCTAAATTCCATTTCCTAAGTAACTGCTACTTGGTTGAATTTGTTCAACTTGGAAAAAAGCCATTGTCTCTGAAGGCTTTTTTAGGGGACTGTACCAGAATGTGCCGAGATAATTTCTCAGAGAAACCTAAATGGAAATCATGGTGATAAAACAAATAAAGCTCTTGCTTCATGCAACGAAGCTATATATTTCTCTTGGCTCTTTTCAGTATGTTTGAATTTTCCTGGGTCAGCAAATGCACAGTATACAAATCAACACAACATTTTTTCACATGCATTTCTCATCATGGTTTAGGTCCTTTAAAACACCTTTTCGTTTTAGTTGTATAAATTGATCATGAAAGTTAATGACTCTAGTGACTTTGTGGAAAGCAAAGCCAAGATGGTGTTTTATTGCACGCATCTCTACCTTTCAAGTGTTTAGATCTGTCATCCATGCCATTACTTCATTTTGACTTCTGTTACCTGAACTGGGACAGTAGTATCACAGTTGAGGTATATAAAGCTAAAGTAGAATCTTTTTCCACGTGAAATGCACTTTAAAAATCTGTGTAGAAAGTGAGATCTGTTTCCATAAAACCCTTGAACTCTACTGAGCGTGTGAGATTCCCAGTCTGGTTTTAGACCTGTTAAGTAAGTGCTGTGCTGTGTGCTCTGAAAATGTAAATGGTGCTACTTAGAGTGGGCATGTGCATACTTGCATTTAGTAGTGGTGATTAAGTGATTTCCTTACTACATTTGGTTACTTTCTTTTCCTGGAATTTGAATGTTGTATACAAAGCTCTACAGAAGTTTTGAGTGGGAAATTGCAACTTTTGTCCTTGGGCTGAGAAGGGAACACCATTTTAAAAAAATTTAAAAAAACTGATGTTTAGCTTCTTCAGGATAATTTACTGGTAGTATCTGTAGTCACCAAGAATTTTAAGTTGTTCATATTCTGTGTGAGAGGAAAATATTGCCAGTGTGTGGCTTGAAAAAGAAAGCAGAACTTGTTTGAAGCTTTCCCTGCTCCTCCCCCAGTATTTGCTTTCAGGAGTAGGCTCTTCCTGCCAAAACTGCTCTGTGTTTCTAGAAATGTAGAAAACAGTTGCTTTATAGACTACTTCAGTTCTTGAGTCAATGAAAGGCTTCTTTGTCCATAGTTCTGTAATCAGGAAAAAAAAAGTCTTAGTAGTCAGTTTTAATAGAAAAATAAGCAGGAAAGAAGAGGTGGAGTTGAAAAGAAAACAATTATTCCTTCTTATAGTATTTTATTTTAAATCTGCATGAGCAGAATGTGCACAGAGTTTTGAAGTGATGGATTCATACTTTGCTGTTAAGTTATAGCTGTAAACTTTCAACTTTTTAAAAACAATCAGAAGGACTTTGCAGACAGCCTGGCAGGCTGTAGGTAACTTCTCAGCTGCAGTCGCTGGAATGAGAAGTGTCATCACCTCACGACGACATCAACCTCATCTCTTGCTGTAGAATCACGTAATCATTTGGTTGGAAAAGATCATCAAGTCCAACCACAGCCTGTCCACCAGTAAACCACGTCCCTAAGCACCTCATCTACCCATCTTCTAAACACCTCCAGGGATGGTGACTCCACCACTTCCCTGGGCAGCCCGTTCCAATGCCTGATAACCCTTTCAGTGAATAATTTTTTCCTAATATCTAATCTAAACCTCCCCTGGTGCATGTTAGCAATTGATTTGGTCTCTGTTCTTTGTCAGTGGTGCTGCTGAAACTAGAAATCTTCACTGTAAGAAAGTACTTACTGATGAAAAGGGAATATGCTGTACTTCCTTTCAGAGGTTGATGTAGTTGAGGTCCCGTCACCAAATACTCGGTTCATGTGCTGGTGTTTGGCCAGATTTTAGTGAATTAATAGAAGTAATAGTCATTGCAGGCTGGTAGTAGCAAAGTCACCATATTTTTATCCATTTTTGTCACACTGTGACTTACAAAAACAGGAAAAAGCAAGGATGTCAGGTATACCAGTGTCTTACAATAGACGTCTGGGTTTTTTCCCCCATCAGCTGCAGTGATGAAGTTGTATGACAGCTTATAAAACCAGTAGCAGTAGAACTGAACATGATTGTTGGAAATTAGACTATGGCATTCATACACAGGCCATGAGAGAGGGTGCGGAAATAAAGAAGTGTTGCCATCATAAAGGATCAAGCTGAGGTCTGTCTGATAGCATTTGGTATTTTTGAAACTGTCCAAGAAGTTTTATGCCAGGTAGGTGGGAACTGAGGTGAGCTTTAGACAGCAAAAAGAAAGTCACCTAGTGTCAAGAAATTTGGTTAATGTCCAAGACAAAAGATTTCCTTTTTATTTGAAAGATTTTTAGCAAGGTTCCTCAGACAAATAATAATACCCATAGAATTGTCATGTCTGTCCTTGAATGTGAAGTTCTTTATTTCAGTGATGTTTTTATGAAATAGTTAATCTAGTCTTCTGAATGATATTTTTTGGTCTTTCTTCAGTTTGCCATCTTCTGAGCTGAAGTCTTTGCTCTGTCCCCATCTCACAGATTGTATAAGAGGTTTTCAGTATACCTCTTCAGTGCTTGCAATTCGGAAGTGTTTCATTTGCTCAGTAATCATCATATCCTTTAGTAATTGTCATCACCGATGTGATTTCAGATAGCAGCCGTCTGATTGCCTTGAGATAATGACTCGGTGTTATTTTGTTAATTACCAGTCTGGTTTTGTATCTTTCTTTCATTTGCACCTTTCTATATTTCAGTTTTCTTTTTTTCTACTTTAAGCATCCTGTCTGAAAGCACTTACCAATCCCATTAAGCCGATAAATGAATAGAACAGAAAAAACATAAAGGGCGTGATAAGATGGATGAGAAGCTTAATGGTGAAACTAAGGAATGGCTTTTACCGTGAAGTTCTGGCAATGGGTTAGTTATTTGTGTAGTTTAGTAAAGCTCATTTGACAGTTATCAGGGAACATGCATAGTCTGCTCAGCAATAAGCAACTAAAATGTTTCTGTTGAGATTTCAAGAACTTTCATTTTTATTCTTCCCCACACGCCTTAATAACAACCTTGTATTTATGTTCAGTATAATTATTATTACCCAACCCTCCAAAAAAAAGAATCTTTTGACAGATTTGTCTCATGCTGGTCTTTTCTCCCAGGTGATGGGGGATAGAACAAGGGGAAACGGCACCAAGCTGTGCCAAGGGAGGTTCAGGTTAGAGATAAGGAGGAAGTTCTTTACTGAGAGGGTTGTCAGAGGCTGGAACAGGCTGCCCAGGGAGGTGGTGGAGTCACCATCCCTGGATGTATTTAAAGAGCGGGTAGACGAGGTACTTAGGGATATGGTTTAGTGGGTAGACAGGAGCGGTTGGACGTGATGATCTCAGAGGTCTTTTCCAACCAAGTGATTCTGTGATTCTGTGATCTAAATACATCTTCTAGTTGATAGGGTTTTACTATACCCAGGTTTTTCTCAAGTCTTTGCAGGAATCCGCCTTAACCGTTTCAAGCGCAGTTTAGTTTCAAATGCTGCATCTGAGTACTTGGTGTCTTCCCACAGCCCTTGTTCATCTACTGCTGGGGGGTACTATTACCTAATAGATACCTTGAGATTTCTTAGTAATGACTGCATTAAATACCAACCATACACAGAGTTTTTGGTAATGTATCTTTCTGTCTGTGGCTTTTGACAGTTTAGCTGAAAAGAACATGTAGAAATTTGCCCCTGCCTCTATTTCTGCAGAAATAGATCTTGGATGACAAGAACAAGCAACAGGATTCAGAGTAGTTCCTGGAATATGGAGAGTGATTATCCTGAAATGCATTACCCTTCTTGTAGGGCAGAAATATTTATTTCTAATGGGCATGCAGTTGAAGGGGGAAGTGAATTTTTTCTAAATATGTTCACAAACTTTAGCATTAAGTGGTTTCTGAAAGCAACGCTTCAGTTGCAGATAAGATTAAGAATCACTTCTCTGTTTTGGAACAATTGTAAATAATTGTTCTGCAGAAATAAGAACTTGGATTTTCTGAGTCTGGGGAAAAAGAAAACATCTTCCCTTTGCCTCTGAAAATCTCCACTGTAGTCTTCAGAGAGAGGATGCTTCTGCAGGAATAGTACCAAGCTTATGTTTAATGTAGCTTATGGCAAATCAGATGATGTGTTTGGCTATGTAGTGTGGATATTTGGGTGTGGGGGAGGAGGAAAAACCCCTACACTGAAAGGGTTATCAAAGACTGGCACAGGCTGCCCAGGGAGGTGGTGGAGTCACCATCCTTGGGTGTGTTTAAAGGCCGTCTAGATATGGTGCTCAGGGACATGGTTTAGAAGGGGGCATGGTAGAGTTAGATAACGGTTGGCCTTGATGATCTTCAAGGTCTTTTCCAACCATAACAATTCAGTGATTATATGAAAAGATTAGATTTTATGCCACAGTTTTCTCCAGACTAATAAGAATCACTGTGGAGCGAGAATCATTTGTAAAAGGACGAGCACTGACCAAGGACTGCTGGAGGCTGTCTGAAATTACTGGAATGCTTCTCTCTTATCACAAGGGATAATGGTACAAATCCTGCTCGGGGGCTTCATCTCTTTGGAAGAAACCTTTGGAGGGAGATGCAGCTTTCCAAACCAGTGGTGGTTTTACCTCAAGATCAGTATAATTCACCGTCAGGGCATTGGCTTGTATGAAAACAAGAAATAAAACACATAGCTCTGTGTTCTTGGTGAAAATTTCTTAACTTTGTTCCCATAAACACTGTGTGTAATAGTCTTTTTGCCTTAGCTGTTCTTCTACGTTCTGTGTGCCTTCAGGGTTCTGAATATCTCATATTTTCTCATGCTTCCCTCTGTGAAGTAGAGTTAAAAAATAAAAGATAAAAAGAACAGACTACACACTTTCCAGTAGAAACTTCTGTAGAAAGTATCTCATCAAGATAACCTAGAAATACCCATAACCTTTCCATATTTCAGATTGTTTTGTGGTTTGGTTTCTGTGTTCTGTTGTTTTGGTTTAGGTTTTTTTTTCTGTGATGGCCACTTAACTTCTTTTCGTTTGCAGTTTAAGATCCTAAATGTACCAATGTCTTCCCAACTTGCTGCAAACCATTGGAACCAACAGCAAGCTGAACAGGAGGAGAGAATGAGGATGAAGAAGCTCACGTTGGATATCAATGAACGGCAAGAACAAGAGGACTACCAAGGTAACAAAAAAAAAGCCAAGTATTTAATTTTTATTTTCAGAGGAACTTTTGTGGATCTGTGGAAAGTATTATTTGTGAGAATAAGCAGTTCAAGTTCTGAATTTTGAATACTTCGTGGGAAACCTGTATTTTAATTTTGGTCAGTCATTATTTACTCTCTGGTCTTTGTGCTTGGAGAAGTTTTTATAGTTCCCATAAAAAGGAATTTTCAAGTGGGCCTCAACTCTCAGGATTTCCTTTTATTTCGGGAAAGGAGAAGAGCTGAGATTGTTTCATTAAAAATAAGATGACACAAAATTAATCTGTAGCATTATCTCCATTACTTCAAGACGATTGAATTGGATACAAGTGGAGTTAATTCTATGCAACTTAAACTCTGCTTTTTAGACGTTAATAGGTATTTTAGATATCATTTAGAGTCTTCATCAGTCTTGCTAAGACTTGCAAATACTAAGAGGTAACCTTCACCTGAGAAATAAAAACCGTGACCTCAGCTTCATATTGCTAAAGGCTCTAGGAGTGCTGCAAATCTGAAGTATGAGAATATATTAAGAAAATGAAGGTTTCATACAGATTATATGGTTTGTTTGTTTTTTTTAAAGATCTGCAAGTCAGACATTTTGTAACCTGAGCAGATTGAAGCAAACAGTTATACAACAGATCATACAGCCCCTAAACTGCTGCACTTGATGTGAGTGGTTGTTGGGTGCTTTGGTTTTGTTTCTGATTTCAGGGGGGGAGTTCTTGGGTGTTTTTTGTTGTTTGGTCTGGGTTTTTTTCCTTCAGAGTCAATTTTCCTTGGCTTACTTGGATAGTAAGCAAAGCCAGACCAGTGAAACACTCAGTTCTTCTGTTAGTATTTCTATTTAACATCTCCAAAGTTCTTGCTGTATTTTTAATAAAGATGTTGTGCTTTGATAATCACAGTATAAGAAGTTAATTAGCAGGAAATCTCATTTAAGGTATTTAGTGAAAGGTTGTCATTCATCAAGAAATGAGAAATTTAAATTAAAGCAGCTCTGACTCTGAGAATGCTGTGGAATCTCACAGTCCTTTCAGAACTCTGATAGTACAAGAACTAAACTTGCAATGTAAGGAGGAGTATTTTTCCAAAGTGAACGTCTGCAGAGCTTTGAAATGGTAACACAATATATTCTGAGTATTAAACATCATAATCAGCTTAAAAACTTCTTTTCCAAGATGCTCACCTCTTGCAAAGCCCACTCATGAAAACGCAAAAGAAACAGTAGGCTCTGGAATGAGACATTTAAATGCTTTTCCCAGGCTTTTTGTGGGTTTTTCCTCATTAATATTTCTGATATTTGTACTGATAAGGGCATTTAGGGTTTTTTGCTTTGTCATATGACTTAGTGGGTATCTTTAAAATAAATTGATTTAATCTAGGATTTTATAGTGGCCAAAATCACATTGATTTTGTCCAAGAAGAATGAATCAGACAACTGATACCAATTGATAGCCAGCAGTAGGCTTTTTTGTCTTATTTTCTCATGGATTTTCTAGGTACTGTGTTTAAAGCGTTAATATAGCAGGAAAATCAACAGAGAAATTTTTTTTTAATAACTGACATCCATTTTTGAAAACAGCTGTTGATTCTTGTTTTATTAACCTGGGTAATATGCACAGTAAAACCAAACTAGAGAGGACATTTTAATCAGATTAAATTAGAGAAGCCAAATTACATTCTTCTTTGGAACTATTTTTTATTTAGATTTTGTGCAGCTGATCCTTTTGAAGAGTCAGCTTGCCTCTAACAAGTTGGTACATAGCCACTGAAAGAAAAAGCTGGTTTTAAATTTCTCTTTCAAGCTTTGAAGTTACCAAGGGAGGAAGAAGTCTCAATTTCTTAAAGAATGCCTCAGGCTTGTCCTAACATTTGTACATAGATTTGTTTTTTTTCATCTGCTCAGGGTGGCTAATGTTCACCAATGTACTTCAAAGCAGCATCAGATAATTTTTAATACTTCAGCAATGTTTATTAGTATAAACATTTTTAATTTAATGAAATATTAGGAACTGGATGACTCTCTAATTTAGGAATATACTAGTCTGTAGGTTGTTGGGGTTTTTTGTTTAGTAAAACCAAAGATGGGCAACACGCCTTCAGCCTTGCTAATGCATTGCACTCCTTTGCCATTTCTTCCTCGTGTTATCTTCTCAATCACTCAACTTTGCAGCTGTGACTTTTCACAAACCCTGGTATTTTCTTTCACCTGCGGTGTGGCAAACCGAAGAGGCGGGCATGCACACACTTGCTCCTTCCTTGCTTACTTCTAGCACCCGCCTGGCAGTGTACCATAACCTCTTCTTATTTTCTTATCATTGCCAGCAGAGATCTCTCCTGGCACCCAGGATTGTTTTGAAGATGTTATTTCATGATGTTTACAAAAATAGACTCTCGGTGTGTTGAATGGCTTGCTTTGCCTTTTGCAGATGTTTATAGAGGAGCATACAGAGCATGAATACATGGTCTATTAACAGTTGACACCAATATGATGTATTAAATCATTCAGAGTTTCCCAGTTTCTCAAAGACTGGTGACTAACTCACTGAAAGTGTCACATGCATTTTATAAATGACAAGAGGATCTCAGTAGAGTCTCCAGTTTTGCCCTGTGCAAGTCATTGAGAAGAGCAGTGTTTTTCTTGCAGGTGTTGGGTATGTGTCTCCAATGAGATTACCAGAGATTAGAGAACCAGACAGAGCAGACTTTCAAACATAATCTGTTTAACAGCTTATTCCACTTTTCCCCTTCGTTTATTCCATCTGTCTGTTTGCTGAGCAATGTAGGTGGTTGCACAGGTGGGCTGTCAGAAGTACTTTCCATTTGGTGCACTAACATATGGATAGAGGTTACCTGGAGGTTCCTATGATGTGTTTGTAATTAATTGGTACTTAATAACCAGTAATTTAGCCTCGTAACGAGCCATCTTTTTATCATTAAAAAATGTAATTAAATTTTAGAAATTAAGTTTTACCAAATGCGAACACAACAGATGCCTAGCTTAAACTGCTCAAAAATTGGATGTTCAGGGCTAATCTGGGTAGTGGAAGCTTCTTTCTGCACTCACCTATTCCTACTGCTCATGAAATTAAAAACTCCCTCTGTGAGGCAGCTGGTGCAATGTAGGTCAGCTGAGTCACCCTCTTCTCTGTGAAGGATCCCATTATGGCAAGCTTAGACTTAAATACCTGACTTCTCAATGCCTAATTTTAGGACAGGTTTCTTGCTGAGTCTTTAATTGGCAGCAGCATTGTCCAATTGTTACTATTTCAGGGTAGTTTGATGTTGTGGCTTCTCATGCTGCGGTGAAGCTTTGTCCCTGATCATTGATAAAGAAAGTGGTGACGGATATGTTTAGAAAGAAAAGGTCACAGCCCCTTCCTTAAGCACCTGTGATGAAAATCTTTGCTGGCGGTTCCCTCTGTAAGAACATCTGGAAATGCAAGTTCACATTATGGGGTAGCTTGGATTTGGCAAAGGTATAATTTTAGTAATTTTTTTATTTTAGTAGGTTTTTTTAAATCAGCTCTTGTGGAATAACAGAAGTATTAACCCTAAAGTATAGCAAAGTGTAAACGAGGTGTCTTTTTTTACTACACGGCAGTGAGATGTGCTTGTGTAAATTCCTCTTTGAATACATCTTCTGTGCATCTTTTTAACTGTCTTCTGTGTGAAATTACAGAAATGTTGCAGTCTCTGGCACAGCGTCCGGCTCCAGCAAATACTAATCGTGAACGGCGGCCTCGTTACCAGCATCCGAAGGGAGCACCTAATGCAGATCTAATCTTTAAAACTGGTGGGAGGTAGGACAATCTTCCTTTAAATGTGGTCATTCTGGTTCTAGACAAGTCATTACCTTCATAATTGAAACAGATAATGATCGATGTAGTGCAAGTGTGTTTGTTAGTAATTTCCATTCTGTTAAAACAGCGTTCTGTTAAAACCCTGAGCAGGGTTTTGTGCTTCTAACACAGTGTCTGTGAATACGTTTTTGACACAGGTTTGGAAGCCAGAGGATTATTTTTCAGCTGTGAAATGGGTGGTAGAATCTGAGCCTCTATTTATAGGGGGAAAGATGCAAGTTTGTTTTCTCAGTGAGAAGGGAAGAAGATATTTTGGGGTATCTAGAGAAATTTCCATTGTGCTTTTTCAGTTTGGTGAATTTGAGAGCTGTGCCCTCTGTATTTGAAGTCCTGAATGGAAAGTAAATATAGTAAAGGTGAGGAGGGGGAAGGAGAGCCTTTGAGTTATGGTGTGCAAGAGTATACCAAAACCAGTGCTACCATGAAAAGAGTCATTCCAGATGGCCTCATTTCTATAGCTTTCATGTGTCTCAGTGTGTCTTTTCTCACTTGGAGCAAGCTTGCAAATAAACCATTAAATTAACCTGCAGCACAAATTTGAACAGGTGAGTTTCAGGTGAAACGCAGACTGCTTTCATGTTTCTTTTCCTTGCAAGTTGATTTTGGAGATGGATAGATAGGAGCAACAACTGGGAAGGGAAGGTTTACCTGCTACTGGGTCTGTCTTTGTAAACTACAAATAATTTAATGTAACTAATCTTGTGTTACAGTAACGTTGCCCACTTTCTGGTACATTTTTATAGTAATTTTATAACTTACTCACTACACTGAAACCCTGTAGAGGTACAGCTTGTACCAAAAAAACCCAGTTTTTTGAAAACCTACTGCAGTTTAAAATAAATACTTTTATAAAAAGGATTAACCATAAAATGAGCAGTGCTGCCCATTTAGCTTTTTCATATGACTGTAGCCTAATACCATCATGGAAATACAAAATACTCAGTTGCACTGAATTGCCATAATACTTGCAGGCGTCTCAAATAGCTATGCAGTTCGGTCACCTTTCCCAAATGCTTTGCAACCTGCATGAGGAACACACTGCAGTTATTCTTTAAATACAGCAGCCAGACCAGTAGATGTGATCTTTGCAGATTTTTTTTTTTAATGCAGTTCTTTTGAAAGCTTTTTATTTTCAAGTGTTTTAGGAGAAAATATAATTTAGGAGTTTAACTGTAAACTAGGTCAGATGTTGTCCAGCAAACAGTTTAAGCAGTGTTTGCTTGTTCAGAGAGCTGTGCCGTGCACTTGCAATTCCGATGTAGTTTTGTATTGTGTAATTTACTTTGTTTCTTTTAATCTGTAAGCTCCTTAGAGCAGGCACCAGGAAGTTTGTTTTAGCAGGCATATTTTATTTGTTGTGTAGTGCAATGCTCGGGCTTGCAGTCACGCATCAGTTGAGCCACCTTAGCCTGTAGTAAGGGAATGTTGCTTTTCTTGACCCCAACTGAAAGACGTTTAAGCAGAGATTTATTTAGTGGAGACTGTGGGTCCACCAGTGGCTTATCTCTTGTGGTGTACATTGTCCGTCACCTACATTTTTGGAGCTTCTGATGTATAGGATATATCGAAGATTATCTTCTGACTTTGAGGAGTGAACTGCAGTCTCCCTGCCCAGCCTACCCTCTTGTTTTAGTTAAGTTACCCCATGGGCTCTGAGGGCATCTGAATATCTTCCTGTTTTCTGAGAGCAAATAGGAACTGAGCTATTAATTTTAGTATCTGTTGGGAGATATTTTCCCTTTCCTACATGATAGAACGAATGTGTATAATTACAGATGTTATCATTAACACGATGAGTGAGCTGTGTTGCGTTATTTCTTCTTTGTACATGGCTGATAGGTTATTTTCTTGCAGTAGTCACTCAAATTTATTAGAAATAATAACATATGTTACTTTCTTTAAGGCATACAGCTTTTTATTTTAAATTTCCTGAAGTTAGGAATAATCTAAGCAAGAAAATTTCCTGGTTGATTCATCTGTAATGTCCAACCTAACATGTTCTCATGAGGCTGAGATGAGGACTTTCTTGCATTTCAGGTAGTGTTAAGAGTAGAGAAATTGATCTGGTGTTTTTACCTTTACTTTTATATTGCTAAACATGTCCTAAGCATCGCATTTCAAACATCTTTTAGAAAGTTAAATCCAAATCCTGCCTGTTGTAATGGACAATTCAGGAATTGATGAAGGCAGCACTGGGTTCTCTCGTACGTTTTTGGCCTTGGACAACTGGATCTTGCTTTGCAGTTAGCCCTCTCTGAAAGCAGGATTTGGACTGGACGACCTCCAGAGGGCCCTTGGAACCTCAGTTTTTCTGTGATTCTGTTTTGGTCAGGTGGGGTGCTAAACCAAACCAAACAAACAAAAAAAAACCCAAAACACCCACAGATGTGTCACCTCCTTTGCTTGTGATGAACCCACAATAAATGGAAGAATGAATTGGTGGCTGTGGCTACACAGCATGCATTTTGTTAAAAAAAGGAGAGAGAAGTCTTGATTTGTTATCTGTGAATGTCCTCCTTCTGCATTGAGTTAAGTGCAGTGAGATTTACAGGCTTTGTCGGATTTCTTGTTAATTTAGTGTGTGCAAAATGCTGGATCAAAAACTGGACTTTATTGCTGTTTATTTGCAGTTGCCTGCTTGTATAGCCTCAGCTCTTCAGATCTGCTCATCATGCACGGAGGAGATTCTTTTGGGGACTTGTCCATTTAGGGCTGACTGGCCTTAGAGATAGTTTATTGTGACTCCATTAAAAGTAGGGTTCCTTGATTTGCGTCAGCAGAACTAGGAAGGCAACAATTTTCACTCCTGACTCCAATTCTGTGGCACTTGTCTATTAAAAGAGGACTTTGGCTGTCAAGCTGTTAACTCAGGACACACAAAATTTACAAGAGTCGTTTTTTTCAGTGGTGGCTTTATTGTGAACATGCACTTGTACAGTTTTTGCAGAAAAGTGGTTTTGCTTTGTTTAAAGAGGATTGAGATCCGTTAAATGCCTTGTTTATGAAGTGACATGTAAATAAGTACATTTTATGAAATCCATTTATAAGCATGGGTTACAGCAGAACTAGGAAGGCAACAATTTTCACTCCTGACTCCAATTCTGTGGCACTTGTCTATTAAAAGAGGACTTTGGCTGTCAAGCTGTTAACTCAGGACACACAAAATTTACAAGAGTCGTTTTTTTCAGTGGTGGCTTTATTGTGAACATGCACTTGTACAGTTTTTGCAGAAAAGTGGTTTTGCTTTGTTTAAAGAGGATTGAGATCCGTTAAATGCCTTGTTTATGAAGTGACATGTATTACATATAAGTACATTTTATGAAATCCATTTATAAACATGGGTTACCAAGAAAGAATTGCAGGGAGAAATCTGACTATAGAGAAGCAGGCCTTACCAAGGAGTTCATTGTAAACCTCTCCTTATTAAAAGCAGTAACCTGTGCTGTCTTGAAAGTACAGTAAAGAAAGAGGACCTGTCTCTGTCAAAAGGCCCATTGGGATGCAGACATAAGCTGACAAAATAAATCATACTAAAGTTAATTGGTAATTTCAGGTCTCCTATTTGCATCTGGCTCTTATTTCTCTTTAGCCCATTTAATAAAGAAGAATGAAGCATAAAGGTAATAGCAGGATGTTAGGATTTTATTAGCTAAATATTCTCCTAATAAAGAGTCTTTTATTAATGCTGAAAAATCAGAGCATGGATAATAAGGAAAAATGTGAATTTGACATGAATTTCCCATTTCAGCTACTGGACAGACACCCTTCATACGTCACCCACAATATGGTTGATGTATTGACCAATGTTGTATTTTGGAGCTTTGAATTCACCGCTTGCTGACAAGCCAACAGTCTTGGGCAGCCTAAATCCAGTTTCTCCGTTAGCCGTAGCCAGGCTGATGGTCGTACACTCTCGCTGTCATTTTCTCAGTCCAGACACTCTTGGGTGTTGGCATAGCCCTGTCTTGAACTGACAAATCAATCACACTGCTTCTTAACTTCTAGTTACAGTTTTCAGTAGTCTCTTGTATTCTTTTCAGAAAACATGAGAAGTCATCACTTCAGCAGTAATATTTTGCTCTTGCTTCAGGAATTTATGATGAAATTGCTCCCCTTTCCACATTCTAGATACCATAAAATACTAAAAAATTCTGTTTTATTTATTATGTGCTAGCTCAGTTCACCTTCTTCTTTGCCATCTTTTTCACTGGTATTTTAATCTGGACCTTCTCTCAGTTGTCACTTTTGATCCTGTACCCCCATCCATTTCCCCCATATGTCCACACACTGGTGCAGCCTGCCATGAAAGCCATCCACACCCAGCAGGGAAATGCAAAGCTCCCTTTTCGGCTGTTGGATGGGAGCAAAGCCCAGGGTAGGAATATGCACAGGGGTGGTTCCAAATCCTGCAGCTCCTTTTCGCAGACTGTGCTGGAATTGAACAGGACATAAGGGATCAAGAAAGGCCAGGTCTGCAGGGGTTTGTCTCGTTGGGCTCTGCAAATATAGGTGCAAGTCTAACCCACCCAAAGAGACCTGATTACAATTACAGTTTAGAGGGGAAAAAAGGCAAGATTTTATTAGTATACTTATTTACAAAGACTTATTGTTTAAAAAGGATGCTTCAACAGAAATATTTGGGGGTATTAATTAAAAAAAAAAGCTCAGAAGTGAAAATCTGTGGCCCTCTGCAAACTGCCAGTCTTCAGAACACCTTCCTGACAGTAGCCTCATTTTCATATTATGACTTTGGTTTTATGTCAGAGGATTGTACTTTTTGAAGAGATAAGAATATAAAATAATTTGCACAACTTAAGATTCTCTTTGTAAGGTGAGTCTAGGTTTTGTGGGTTGTTTGAATCTGCAATGTTTACAGTACTGGTAATTCAGCCTTATATGAAATGACCTGGGCACCTTAGAATTTTTAGTACAGAAACACACGCT